TGGAGTGATGGGGAAAGACCCAACTGGGATGCAAATCATAAGCAGCTAGGCAAGAGGAACTAGAAAAGGGATTAGTTTTGAATCTCCCTTCTATGGAAGAGGGGCCAGATCTGGAAATACAGTGATTCACGTGTTTTTTTTTTTTGCTAGTTCAGTAATCAAAATAGGGGAGGAGAAGGAAGTACCAATGACATTGCTTTTGCCTACTGTACTGGCAGAGAAAACCAGGCTGAAAAAGGTCTGTTGGGTGGTTCAGGTGGTGATTACCTCAGTTTCTCCTTGAGGTGAGTTATACTGTTGTCCATGCTTGTATGTAAAGTATTTGAAGTCAAAAAATGACACAGGCAATCTCTCAGATGCTGCCTGGATTCTTCCTTGTGGATCTTGCTTTTTTAATGTAAAAAGTTGACGATCTTGGCTCTCAGTAAATCAACAGGAGTTTGAAAACTCTCACCTTGTTATTCTTTTAGATGTATTTAAAATACAGGGGCATCCCCAAGTTAAGTGGTGTTCAGTGTCATAGTGTGAAGAGTTGAATTGTACAGTTGGGGCTACCATGATTTAGTGGGTTATTAGTGCCAAACTCCTATAATCTATTTGAATGTAAAATCTGGAGATGCTGATAAAAGAACAGCAGGTTGGCAGCTTCTCTCCAATTTTGGGCCTAGTTCTTAAAAGACAATTAAAAAAATGGAATAATTCAAAGGATACTGAGGCACTGAATGTCATAGCAGGGTACAGGGAGGAATTGAATTCCTACTTCTATAGTTTGGTTCCCCAGGTAGACAGGAGGGAATTCCTCGTTTTCAGTCAGATTATATTTTCATATAGGCAGAATTACAAGTATATTATCATCTTTTCCTTGCAGTACAGGCAGAATCACTGAGGAGAAGTGAGAAAATATTAGAAATACAGGTGTGACAAAACAAGACTTTGCACATTTTCCCTCAAGACGCTTTACCTGGCACCCTGCGAAGTTGTTCACCTCCTTAGAGATAGTGCCTAAATCAACATCTCTCCATCCTGCTGGGAGCTCTAGAAATAGCAAGAGTTTTCTAGGGAATAGTTTGAAATGATTTGATGCTGCTTGTCTGTTCTCCAGTACTCAACCCAGAGAGAACTTTTAAATAACTAGGCTCGTGAGTTGCATTTTAGTTGTGACACCTCTGCTGCAGTTTCCTGGCATTGCCCACTGTCCTTTGTGATGCTCTGTAAAAGCACAAGGCGAGTACTTATCATAATCAATAAATGTACAAAATTATTCAAATGTGGATCCTGTGAACAGTTGTTTAAAATACATAAAATACAGTGCTGGCACATCAGCTAAATACTGCTACTTGTTTCCATCACATAGATACCTAATACACTTTACATGATAGGCTGTTTAAACATGGATGTCTGTAAACATTTGTTTGTAGGAATCTGTTGAATCTATTTTGGTGGCTCTGTTGGATGTCCTACTCCAAATGGCATCATCCTGTTAAGAATGGTAGTTGAGTAGATGAGGTGCAAGGTGCCAGCTTACGAATATACTGTTTTTTTCTTTCCATTTTTAAGTGGGTTATATAGATGAGTGTCTTCTACAGCAACCAACCTATGGTAGTACATTGTGAACCTATTGTAAATGCTTTAAATAGTGAGTAAAATCAACTTCAGCTTGCTGTAGACTAAGTGCTTGATGAGGTCTTTCACTGTAGGTGTGCTGTGGTTTTTTAGTTCATTATGTAACTAAAGAATATGCCAAAAACAGCTTGATTCTCATCAAATTAGAACATGTTCCTTACTTTGATTTTGGAAATAAATGTACAGTCATGTTAATGCAGCTTACTCAGAAAAACTGTTGGCTGGTACATGCTCTTTATTCTGCTTTTTGGACAAATTTTGCTATCTAAAAATATGCTTCTATTAAAACCCCTCTATTTACAAATAGAAATCAATGGACAGATGTGGTCTTTTGTGGTTATATTTAGGTGTTTGCGTGTTCTAACCAGGTGGTGTTTTGTGAGTTTATTGTGTCTTCCTTAATAAGGTCATTCCTTCAAGCTCAGCATGGGAAGTGCTGTAAACTGTAACACCTTTGGGTCTGAATATAGCTCCTGACTGTAAGTTCACGTTTGTTTGGCGCATTTGTAACCTATTCCATACCCTTGATTAGTCAGAGCTCCTGGGTTTTGGGTGGTTTTTGGTTTTGTTTTCCAAACTTGAGCAACATTTGGGAGCACCATTTCTCTGCTGTACTTTGAAATCTGTACTTTAGTCTTACCTGAGTAAGCTGTCCTTACCTTTTTTGCAAAAGATGCCCACAGGGAAAACAGTGTATTAAGGGGTTGCAGTAGTGTAAGAAGGGAGGTAGTTTAATATGCTTACATGGAATATTGAAGAAATTTTCGAGTATACATTTTATATTTCCGTATTTCTGATATTTGTGCCTAAGTTGTGAAGGTTACCTTCTCCCTGTCCTTACCCCACCCCAGCAGTAAAACTGTGGTTGCTCATTGTTATGTGCTGAGTTTTTTAACTGGGCAGTAAGAAATCCAACCAGTGAAAGAGCGTCTAAAGCTATGTCCAATTACTCCCACATTTTACTGAAGTTGAAATAAGTTTGGTCTGAAAAGCATTCAGTTATATTTTCATGTATGCAGTAGCCTTGTGTCGCGGTTTAGATTTACGATTAGGCACACTCTGGTCAGATTTGTTGGTATTTCAAATCTTTGTGCCCCATATTTGGTGCCAAAAAGAACTGCTGTGGTTTAAGCCCACCTGGTAACTCTGAACCACAGCCGCTCACTCACTCTCCTTTTTTTTACCCCCTACTCCCAGAGGGATGGGGAGGAGAATCGAAAGAACGTAAATCCCAGGGGTTGAGATAAGAACAGTAACTAAGGTATAACACAAACCCATTACTGCTACCACCAGCAAGAGGAGAGAATACAATTGTTCACCACCTGCCCACTGATACCCAAATGGACCCAAGCAATGATCTGGGCCTTCCGGGTAACTCCCCCCAGTTTCTGTAGTGGGAATGCCATGCTGTGGTTTGGAATACCCCTTTGGGTACTTTGGGTCAGGTGTCCTGTCTCTGCTTCCTCCTGGCTTCCCATGCCCCTCCTCACCAGCAGAGCATGAGACTGAAAAGTCCTTGATTGGAATAAACATTACTTAGCAACAACTAAAAACATCAGTATTACCAGCATTGTTCTCAGGTGAAAGTGGAAAAACACAGCACTGCACCAACTACTAAGGAGGAGAAAAATGGCTGCTACAGCTGAACCCAGGACACCTTGTAAAACATAGAGAACAGGTGACTAAAGTTTAAATCTGTCTCTGTATCAAAACAGATGGTGATCACTTACAGGGATTTTTATTTAATCTTCAGCAAAAGGGTGTCTGTAGCTACCCTCTGCATGCACTTGAGCAGTGTTGTCAGGAGCAGTCATTAACTGAAATGTTCAGGAAACATTTTTATTAGCGAAACAGCGGAGACCTCATTCAAACTAAAGCAGTATAAGCAAAGAAATAAGTTGTTACTGAAGATACTAGAAAACCCTAAACCACAAAACCCAACCCAGAAATTGGTCCATTTAACTTTCTTGCTGAAATGCATGTGCAGTTTTTTGGCATAGATTCTGTTCCTAATTTAGTACATGGAGCATGTTTCAGAAATAGGTCGGCTGTTAAATTCGGACGTGGTCCATACTGAGAAGTAAGACTGAGAGAAAAGGAAGGTCATTGTCAATTCTTTCTTTTTCCTGATCCTTGGGTGTACATTGTAGGAAAAAAGAATCACTATGGTGCACGTGGCAGGAGATGTCACAGAAATCAAATGCTGCCTTTGTTCTATAAACACCTTCAGATTGATTTGAAGAAATGCTTTAAGGCTACTCCACAACTGAGTGTTCCAATTCTTACATCACTTTTCTCTGGAAAAATATAATAAGCATAAGTAATCACTTCTGTTTATGGTCTGTATCTTGCATTCATACCTGTGTTTCTTAGGCATGCTGTTGTTTCCTATCTTTATAAAACTAGATCTACCTAGAATCACCTTAACCTTAGAAAATGTTATGGGTTTCTTTGGTATTGTGTTGGTGGAAAGTTCTTTTCATCATGTGGAAGAGGTGCGTGAATATAGTTGTGGGTTTAATGCTGGGTGCAGTCTTAACAGCTTAAGGGAAGATATTAGAGTTGTTGAATTGCATTTTTATAGATGCTTTTTCGAGAGAAATTTAGGTTTTTCTTGTTCAGTCTGTTTATTTACTGCGAAGTTGTAAACAGTCTGTTTAACTGGGTTAAGTTCTAAATGCTATATACAGAGATGCAGAACGAAAAATACCCGAAAGTGCATTCATTGTGTTTTGTTTTCCAAATTTTTAGACAATTGCACATTGTTAATTTATCATTAATCTTTAAATTTGGCATGTAGCCTTTAGTAGGATAGGAAGAAGGGCTCTTAAATTCAGCTCTGAGAAAAAAATACTTGAATGTAGTGGTACAACAGCAATATACTCCTTAAATGACCAGAATTAGGATTGATAGTTATTTAATAAGTATTTGAAGAGAAATCTTATCTTCTAGGTAGACCACTCTGTGAAACTGGGTAGACCTCAAACTGGTCAAAATGTATGCTCCCAACTACTTGTGACTTGTTTATTTACTGAAGCTGTTCTTTGGCATCATAAAACAGTCTTCAAAGTAGGACTTGTTTTAGGGATAGTTGCAAGATCAGGGTGACCTTCAAGAAATTTAGAGGCAACACATAAACTGTGCTTGTTATAAAGAATTACATTTGCTTGTATTTCTTTCCCAGTTTTCAACCTGCTTACTTGGGGGTCTTTTTCTGGCCACATTGCTCTTTCTGTATGAGCTATAAAATGAAGATGGTTACAAGTGATTTACTGAACCTTTTGATTTTTAAATTAGGTTGGGTGATAGGTGCAAGTTATGCAGAAAATCTGACATTCTGTAAAAAGTGGCTTATATATTTGTGTTTTATTTTTCAGCTGTACTTTCAGGTTTCCCAGCACAAACATCAAGATAACATTCACAGCTCTGTCCAATGAAAAGAGAGAAAAACAGGAGGCCCCGGAGTCCCCAGTGAAGCCTGTGCAACCCCAGATCTCTCCCTTAACAATAAACATTCCAGACAACATGGCTCACCTGATCAGCCCTCTCCCTTCTCCCACAGGAACTATCAGGTATTTAAACCCTGCACATTGGATATGGGGCAATGTATGGTTAGCAATATGAGGCAGCTTTCTAATTCATTTTAAGTATTTTGTGTTTGTGGTAAAAGTTTAGTTGAAGCTCAGCATTACCTGCCTTGGAGACAACCACCATTCTGCTAAGTAATGAGATAATTACATGAGTAGCCTTTACTATTCAACTGTAATACGTGTAACAGTTTGCTCAGGAGCTTGGCATTCTTAGTACAGCAAAGGAGGGTATCTTTGTCTTGCATTCCAAATGATTTGGATTGCTTTTTATTCTTGCATGCTTATGGCAAGACTTTAAATGAGATAAGTCTAAATAATACCATTTTAAAACATTCTGCTCAGTCACTGTCCCCTGAAGTTGATAATCAGAAAAAAGGTGGATTTTTTGGTTATTTCGTGGTTTGAGCCCAGCTGGCAGCTAAGTACCAGCCATCCACTTGCTCTCTCCTCTGCCTTCCCAATGGGATGGGGAAGAGAACTGGAAAAAGTAAAATATAAAATATAATAATACAACAACAGTTATGGTAGGAGGGAGAGAGAGGAAGGAATAAACTCGCCCCCTGAAAAAAAACCAAGTGATGCAGTTACAGTTGCTCAGCACCCACTGACTCATGGCCAACTTATCCCCAAGCAGTGATTGGCCCCTCCTGGCTGAATCTCCTCAGTTTATATTCTGGGGGTGATGTTCTGTGGTGTGGAATATCCCTTTGGGTAGTTTGGGTCAGTTGCCATGGCTGTGTGTCCCCCTGGCTTCTTGTGCCTGTTCTCACTGGCAGAGCATGAGAGTCTGAAAAGTCCTTGATCAGGGTAAGCACAACTGAGCAGCAACTAAAACTTCAGTGTGTTATCAGCTTTATTCTCATACTAAATCCAAACCACAGCACTGCACCAGCCACTGGGAAGAAAGACAACTGTTACAGCTGAAACCAGGCCAGGTTATCATTAGTGTGCAAAACAGACTGATCCCTTACTCCAGAAGATTTGTGATTAAGTATTGGTGGAAGTAAACAGACATTTTACTAAAAATACAATGAAAGAAGTGGAGCTTAGTGTAGGGAAGTGTGCAGGGGAGGTTCCTGTATGTTTTTAACTTGCTATGCTGCTTCATTTGGTAATTGTAGTTGTTGTCTTACTTGTTCTTCAGACCCAACTGACCATAAGCAGGCTGTCCTCCTAAACTGGTAAAATCAGTTTAGATACAAATTTTAAAATTCATAGAAAGTTCAGGAGCACAAATTTCATGTAAAGGCACTGAAAGTTGTGTTTCAAAGTCACTTATGTGCTGTTGAAAGCTTTTTTCTTCCCCCCTCACTTCCTGTATCTCCACTTGAGTGAAGGACTATTAATGCTTGATTTTTCAAACTGTAGATCTTGTTAATGAAATTTGAATATAAGGATAATTGACTTCTTTCATGCCTGCCAAGAGCTTGATCTCAATATTGTAGTGTTTAATGAGATCTGTATAAATGGTGGAAGTAGAGAGAAAAGAGATCTGGACTCAACTGTGTAACAGGTTTGCTTTCTTATTAAATTCAGGAAAAACACATCTTGTCCAAGGAATGACAGAGCAGCTCCCAGATATTTCAGATAATATCCATATACCACCACAGTCTTTTCGTCACTATGAATTTTGTACTTCTCTTCAGGGCTTTCATGCACCTGTTGAATATAGTTTATTACAAAGAAAACCCAACCCCAAAACAACCGTTCTATTTTGAGAGCAAAGCTTGACAGTTTCTCTTCATATCTGCCTGTTTTGTAGAAAACTTGTAAATGTGCTTTGATTATACCTTATGTGTTGCTTTGTCAATACATGCTAAAGGGAGAGGGATGTTGTCGGTTGATATGTGAAAACAGCAGTGACCTATATTTAAAAAGTGAATTAGTGGCACATTTTGGCTTTAATGAAGGATTCTTCCATGCAACGTTTAAAAAACCCAGACTCCTTTCTATAGTATATCATTAGTACCGAATTGTTGGTGGATTTCTCCTGATGAGAAACTTGAAGGGTATTTTATTTCTATATGTTGCCCCATCTACAGTGTCTCCCTTGTTTCTATACATAAAAAAGGAGGTAGAAAAAAACCTGAGAGGCCAGGCAGACAAACCAAACTCGACAGATGTAAATATGTTAAAGCTTTATCCTGTAACTCTAAGTAACGCTTCCTGGCTAAATTTGTTACTTGATGTTTTGAAGCATAGATGGGAGTTAGGTTAAAGAGTGCCTTTGGCGATAAGGCTGGTTCTGGGGCCACAGCAGGCTTTGTCATTCTGGTTTCTAGTTAACTTCTTTTGGAGTTTCTGAGGACTGTGTTGAAATCAGTTACAATATGAACTGCTGGGAAGTAAGTACTTGTCGTCATGGAGAACTGCCAAAGTTTTTTTTGGGGGAAGAGGACAGACCTCACCCGCCAACTATCTCTTTCCTGTTGGCTAAATGGAAATTCTGGAAGAAAACAGGCTTTGTGCAGTGGTGGTTCCCGTGACTCTACAAGGCAGGGGACAACCGTGAGAAAGATGTTACAGTAGGATAAGAGAGAATATATCTTTATTTTTCTGTGATAGCAAAAAGGGAGGTATCAAGAGATGCTGCTTTCGTTTGGCACTATCGTTCACTTCGTAGCAGTGTAACTGCTCTGTTTTCCTAATACTGTGTTAAATTAGATGAGTCAGTGTTGTTGCATCCCATGTATAGAGAAGTTTATGATGTTTATACATATATATGTGTGTGTATGTGCATATACTTGTAAACACTTAATGTTGGGTTAGATTTAAATAAGAATCAGAACTTTTTTCCTAACTGCTTGCTATATTTTCTCAAATGTTCAAAAATACTGTGCAGGAGAGATGATCTTTTCTGTGCAGACTGAATACAAGCATATGGCAGAAATTTCATGCAAGATGTGTTTCTTATTTCAAATGAATGTCTTAAAATTTGTGGTTGCCTATTTAGTTACAGTGGACTTTTCTGTTGGCAAATCCCACCCAAATTACAGCACAGCCTAATAAATCAGTTAATCTTTTTCCCTTTGAGGAGGAAAACCTGAGCTTCATTTGACAGGTTTCTTCCTGCAGTGATTTTTAATTCCCATGGATGAGTTAGAAAGGCTTGGAAGATGGGGTTTATAATGGAAATACTGACAGACCCTTAACTGTAGCCTAGATGCTCTGGCAGTGGGCTTTTCCACAGTAAAAGCTTTTTGATTAGATATAATGTGGTGATATACTGTATAACAAAATAGTAGGATCTTCTTTTTATGCTCTACAGTGCTGCAAATTCCTGCCCATCTAGCCCCCGTGGTGCAGGCTCTTCAGGGTACAAAATGAGTCGTGTAATACCGTCTGACCTACATTTAATGGCTGATAATTCACAGTCAGAGAATGACAAGGAAGCATCGGGTGGAGATAGCCCAAAGGTAAACACGGTTTGAAATCAATCCCATAAATTACATTGTGAGTGAATGTAAGACTTCAGAAATTTTGTTTGCTAAAGTAGATGCAGTGTGTCATCATTTAATATTGCAGACTTTAAAAACAATTGGTAGATTTTTGTGATTAGAGACGAGATTTGTTTATGTATCTATTTATTGATTTCCCTCTCTTTCCCTTTGGGGGAGGGTGTGTATGTATTTTATCCGTGGGTCTGTAGGCTGTTGAAAATTCTTTGCTGTTGAAAATCCTTTACTGTGGTATGTGTCTCCAAATTTTTAATGTTCCTTTTTTATTGTTATCTTTTAATTGGAAGAGCAAAATCATCTTAGCTTCTTTTCTGCCTTAAGATTTTGACCATTCAAAAATGCCTTAAGTTAATTGTATTTTGTAACTTTTGATTTAGAAAGGGGGGGTATATTTTCAAAGTTTATTGATGCAGACTTTTCTTTTTGTTGTACAGGATGACTCTAAGCCACCTTACTCCTATGCACAGTTAATAGTACAAGCAATTACAATGGCACCTGATAAGCAGCTTACACTAAATGGAATTTATACGCACATAACTAAAAACTATCCGTACTACCGGACAGCAGACAAGGGCTGGCAGGTAAATTGGCTTTCTGGAATTTTTGTAATCCTGGCAGCTGTAAATGCTCATAAGCAGTCAGTTGGTGAGCCCAGCACCCCTTCATAAATAGAATCTGTCAAATGAGTGTGTTGTCTCTTTCCTGATGCAGGTTCTCCAGCCACATAGCCACTTTACATGATTTGGTATTTGAAATGTTGCTTTAGTCATGGAATGGTATCTGTAAACCTCTAGGAGTGATGAATACAGACTTTTGGGGAAGAAAAGTCCAGTTGGCACTGGGGATTTGAAACTACGTATGCTATCTAGGCATGTAACTATATTCTGTAACTTACAATTGTGTAAACATCCGGATTATTATCTTGAGATAAAATTAAGATATTAAATGTTACAAGTTCAGTTTTATTTGAAAGCCATGATCTTAACCATGCACTACAGTGAAGGAACAAGCATGTATTATCTGTCCTCATCTTGCACTGTTGTGTGACCCAGGCTGTTTGTGAACTTAATCTGCATGGAGTTACACCAAGTCTTTCCATTCTGCAGAATTAATTTCTGCTTTCTTTTCATTTTTCAAAGAGACCAACCTCAGCATTTGCCAGGATGACTAACAGAGTATGAATCAGTCTGGCACAGACTTCCCAGATACACATAAGGGTTCGGTGCCTTTGCTGCCGTTTTTAGTTTCAGCAAAGGACAGAAGAGCACAAGTATCAGGACTGGCCCGTTTGCCCGTTTAACATTCAGACTGCACTGTCAGTCATGGGGTATCAGTTTCACTGTGTTGCTGGTTAGTTCAGTCATGATCTGCAACAGAGAGGCATGCTCTGAAGTTATTTTCAGGGAAGTAAAATTTGGAGAGACTGGGGGAGGGGAAGAGTGCTGCGCAAGTAGAAGACTGGAGAATACATGCCTGCTCAGGAGAGGAATAGGTTTTTAATCTATTAATCAGATACATATTTGTCATAGGGCCTAGATGAAAGTTGAATTGCTCTTAGAGGAATTCCAAAGTTAGTGGGGAATGTAACTGTTCCCAGCTTTTTGCTAATGGTTTTGGTAGTAAAAGGGCATAGCTGTTGTGGCTACGAAGTGTCTTCTGTTTCCCTTTCACACATAAACCATGCAGAATCCTGGCTGCAGTCACACTAACAGCTTTGTTTTAGCGAGAAGATTCTGTTTATAAAATGTTGGTGTGGTTTTTGCTTCCTGTTCTGAAATACCTGGTGTATCTGTGTGCGTAGTGCTCCTTGATGTAAGCATTGTAGAATCAAACATGCACATACATTATAATGAATGGTTAAAGAGTTCTGCCTTAAAACAGTGTATGTGTTTAGATGTATCATACTTCATAAAGCCAAGGTGATAGACACAGCAGACATGGAATGTTATAAAATAATAAATTAACACCTATTTGTAAAAGCAGTTGGAAAAACTGAAAATCAGATGCTGTTCAGTCACTTGTCATACAGAGCACTGCTCTAACACCCACAGGCATACCTCATGCAGGAGTAGCTTTGCTACCTTTTATCCATCAGGTGTTAGATTACGCTTACGGTGAGTTATAGATGTTTTAAATAATAACTGAAGGTATATATGTGTATATTATTCAAAACATAGAGTACAAACATGTGTATAGTATCCAAATCCTATACTTTAATAAATAGTACTGAGGTATTTATGGCCTTTAATATATAGAGGTCTCATTTCATTTTGTTTGGCACTTGAAGGCTCCTCTTTGTGAACTTACTTTAGCAGGTACTTTTGGATCTACTATTTCATTCTCGCATATGGAGAAATAAATACAATTTATAAACATGTTCTTGGCAACTTTCTAGTTCTGTTTCAGTTTTTGGCAGGGTAAACCATTTCTGGTTTCATCAGTTTGCATTTAGGAAACCATACATGGTTATCATTGCTTTAAGTTTTCCAAACTTGCCATCAGGGTCATGGATTCAGACATTTGAGCAAGATTTGTATTTGCTTTTGCAAATTTGTAAGAGCTTTTGTTAACTTAAAGCTTCTTCTCTGTGTTCCCCTTCAGGTGTTTCAGTATGTATGCTTATTGTTACTTGCTTTTTGTTCAGTGATAATGTTTAGAGAGATTTGGGGGTTTGTGTATCTTTAAAGAGAATTTATGTGTGCAAAGCTAAGCATAGATACAGCCACTTCAGGGTGTTCAAAGTTCTCTGCATCTCTCTGATCAAAGAGTTGTGTGTGCTACAGCAAAGTGAGGATGAAGTAATGTGCAAACTGGAGTGCAGTTACAAAGATCTCAATAAGAGCTGTTTTAGGACCTCCTGCCATTTGTTGTTTTTCTAGACGCACTAAATCCTTGGCTCCTCTGGTGAGGCAGACTGGACTGTGGGTGAACTCCCAACAATCTAGCTGCATTTGGAACTTGCCTTTAACCTTTTCTTTCTGTGTTGTGGAGCAGTAAGATTATCACGTAAGATCAGAATCAGTGTATGCTGTATTTTACTGCCCCTCCTAGAATGAACTGACATTGACACCTGGGGAAGGGTCGTGTATGAAGACTGATACTTTTTTTCATGCTGCATTATGCACAAGTATTTGTAGTGTTCTAACAGCTCATCGCAATCACTGTGTTTCTCATCAGAGAATTAAATGGGATTCCTGTTATTGCCTCATTAGCGTACTGGGGTTTTAACTGTTGGGAAAGGTTTGAAAAATGCAAGAGTCCTTTCAGATTTATGGCACTGCCTTTGTAGTGCTCTGAGTTCTGTTGAATTAAGAGCTGAACCCCGAGTCTCCTGTAGTACAGACTGCTGCAGTAGGCCACATTCTGACTTGGAAAAGTTATATGAATTCTACATATTTTTTTATGTTCCATAGAATTCAATACGTCACAATCTCTCTCTGAATCGTTATTTCATCAAAGTACCACGTTCCCAGGAAGAACCAGGCAAAGGCTCATTCTGGAGGATAGACCCTGCTTCTGAAAGCAAATTAATAGAGCAGGCTTTTAGGAAAAGGCGGCCTAGGGGAGTACCTTGCTTTAGAACCCCTCTGGGACCACTCTCTTCTAGGTAAGGAAAAACAGATGAACAAAAAGACTATGGCTGTTGTTTAATCTTCAGGCTGATACAGACTTGATAGTTTTGGATACAGTCACAAGTTTAGTAATTTAATTATAAGCAGACTCAGTGTTTGAATTCTGTATGATTGACTAGGAGGCTGCCTCATACACTAGGCTTGTTTTTATTGCTTACCTTTTGTGTTAAAGAAGTGACTCGGTTTGCATAACTGTCAGATTGTTAATGTAAGCAAACCTTGCTGTACCTTTGGTTTTTGACAGAATTCCTAGTTCTAATTTCTGACTGCCATCTACTGCATTTTAAAACTGTTTGCAAAGAAAATTACCAAATACTGGCTACCATGTTATTGAACTTAGAGATGACAATTATGTATTTAGATTGATAATGTTTGAGCAGAATCATGATGGGGAAATAGGTGGGTTTAAATTATTCCCTCTGTGAAGTTACAGCCTTTCTGCTAGTGCAGATCTTGTATTACTTGCCCTTAGACTGAGATTTGCTTATCGCTCTTCTCCATCAGAAGAAACGTTCATGTTTCACACATTGTTGAGTCTTCCTAAGAAGGCATCCAGCCACTTCTTCTCCGTTAACTGTACCTGAAGTTTGCTTTTAAATTCTGTCCCTGTTTAACAAAGGCTTTATAAATGCTCATCAGAGCTGCTTTGGGTTGTAACTGTACTTGCCAGAAGGCAGAGGTGCCCTCCTGTGGCCAGTGTGTGTTATGGTCTCTTTAGAGGAAGGTCACTGTCTGTCACAGTTCAGAAGTTAAAACACATCAGCTGCTGCTTTCATTTTTAAATACAGAAGTGCCCCAGCTTCTCCTAATCACTCTGGAGTGTTGTCTGCACACTCCAGTGGAGTCCAGACCCCCGAGAGTCTGTCCAGGGAAGGATCTCCAGTCCCAATGGAACCTGAGCCTAGTGCTATCCAGCCAAAACTAGCGGTAATACAAGAAGCACGATTTGCACAGAGCGCCCCAGGTGAGGAATCCTGAAATAAGTGTTGGGCATTGGAGGTGGGAGAGGGCTAATACATAAATACTACCAAGGCTTCGCATGTACACCAAAAAAGGGTAGATATTAAACCTGTTCACATTCGGAGCAAGTCCTCGATGAACACATAGACATGCCAGGGAAATTCTGTTTGCATATGTAAAACTGTTACCTGTATGCTGTTCCAGCACCCTTGACCACTTTGTTACTAAGCAGGGATTGCGCTTCTGTCCTGTGCAGGACTGCACTGTCTTGTAACAGTTGTCACTTCCTTTCAAAACATATTCTTTCTGGTTTAGAAAAAAAACAAACCCAAAAACTTTGTTACATGGGTTAAGAAATAAGCGTATGTATTGTATGCATATGTGGTCATGTCACCCTTTCAAAGGTGGAGATAAAAGGAGTTGAAAGGATAAAGAAAGGACAAACTTGGGTGATAAGAAAATTGCCATTAAAAAAAAACAAAAAAACATAACAAAAAACAAATGACTCACCGTGAGGCATGATGGCATAAGGATGTAGTTGTTTAATTGCTTTAGTATATACTCTTGCCATCCATCCATTTTCTTGGTGCTGTTGTGGTAGTACAGAAGTGTCAGTGACCATTCTGTGGTGAAGGCAGACATGTTCCTAAGCAGAGACACCAGCCTTTCCCCAGCCTAGGAAGCTGAGAGTTTTACCAGTGCAGACATACTCCACACAACATCTGAAGCACTTGTTTCCACCTAGGGAAGGCAGTTTTACTAAGTGAGTATTCAACATAGCTTTGGTAGTACAGCTGTATGTGGGGAGAGGTGGGAGCTTTTGCTCAAACAGGGTCTTACTGAGTGAATGCAGCACTTAAATGTGTGGCTTGGAATAGCCAGGTGTCATAATCTTCATTGTCCAGTTACATCTTTTGGATCATTTGGGCTTTAGTGAAGGCAGTTGTTAATCCTCTGAGGCCTTAGTGTTAAGTTTAAAAGAATGACTGGCTTAAAAGCAATGATTAAAATTGACAGCCTAATTTTTCTCTCTTTCTTGGTAGGATCACCTCTTTCTAGCCAACCAGTTTTAATTACTGTACAACGGCAGCTACCACAAACTATTAAACCCGTCACCTACACTGTTGCAACTCCTGTGACAACATCAACTTCCCAGCAGCCTGTAGTTCAGACAGTTCATGTTGTCCACCAGATACCAGCTGTGTCTGTCACAAACGTGACTGGATTAGCACCAGCAAACACTTACACTGTAGCTGGACAGGCAGTAGTCACGCAAGCTGCGATGGTAACCCAGCCCAAGGTAGAACCTCAAGAGAATGGAGACCACAAGGAAGTAAAAGGTAAGAAGCTGTGGCGTTAGTTGTTTTGCTGGCTGTTAATACTGAAGGATGATTATTTGAAACTTCCTTCCAGATAAACGCTTGAAACATTTAGCTAAAACTGATGATTTTGCATTGTAATTTCTCAGATATTTTGAGCTTGTAATAAAATATTTTTTCACTGAAGGTTGAGTAAAACCAAATGGTTCTTTAACTCTTTCTTGTTTTTAACGATGATTTGTCTTGTGTTTTTCAGTTAAAGTGGAGCCTATACCTGCTATTACTCATGCTACAATTGGAGCTGCTAGTCGTATCATTCAGACATCTCAGACAACCCCCTTACAGACAGTTACTATAGTGCAACAGGCACCTCTAGGTCAACACCAGCTACCAATAAAAACTGTAACACAGAACGGAACGCACATAGTACCCATCACCACTGCGATACAAGGACAGGGCAATGCTGGTATGTATGCTGTGGAGATGCTCTACTGCTTTGTCTGTGTTAAAAACTTAATAACAGCACTGGTCATGTGTAGTTCTGTTCTCATTACTTAAGTTTTAAAAATATATAGATTACAGCCTTATAAGGGATTGTTCCCTCCCTGTCAGTAAGAGCTAGTGATTCTCTTAATTGATTACTTGAACAGCTATTTATTTTCTTTGTGGTCATTAAAGGGATGTACTTAGTGACAACCTGTTCTCCCTCGTCATTAAACCCAGTATACAAGTAAGTTTTAAAAGAAGTTCCTGTAAAACAGTGCTATTAAAATAATAACTGCTCCCAGATGATTTGTCAAGAGCCAACCAACAGGGAAACAAGACAGAACTTGCTTGTGGGTTGGCTTTTTGAACTGTTACTTTTTACTCTCTTTTTGTTGAACCTGCACTAAAAATGACAAAAAGTTCTGTGGGATTTAGAGATTCCTCTTGTCGGAATTCACCTTTCCCCTCACAGGCTCCATGGTCTGAGTGGGTAACAGTACCTCTTCATAATTTTCATCCAGTCACACTTGTTCACAGGGCTTTCAGTTTTGGTTGACTTTGCAGAGTGTGCAGCTTATTCTGACAGTTTCACTTTGTGATGTTATCTGGTACTAATAGGAGCTTTTTTATCATAAAATATATTTACAGAAATAGTGTTAGGCTACCTTATATCAACTTACTACATGCATTTCTGCTCTAAAGTCTTTCTAATGGAGTGAATTATCTGCTTTATTTCCTTTTTATTCTTCCATTGCTGGCATTTATAGGTCAGTGTTCTGTCTGCTTCCACTTCATTTCCAGCTTAAGTAAAGCAAAAGCAGTTGCTGTCAGACTTTACAGGCTTTTCTTTGTCAGAAGGGATGTATAACTTGAGCCAGTAGTCATGTGAAATAGATAGAAAAGTTATTTTTAAAAGCAGGAAATAATGCTTTTTGTTTTTTTTTTTCCTGGACTCTGTAATTTCAACTGATTTCAGCATGTTTTCCTTGGTAGAGAAGCCCAGTGCCTTCTAGGCCTGTCTAAGAAATGTGGCCTACCATAGGAGTAGAATTGTGGTGCTTTTCTATAGTAAAAAGCTGCTTTCAGATCTTATTCTCAGCAAAACAGTTTGGCAGTGCTTTTGTACTAACCGTCAGTTTAACATAAAGACGTGAAGTTCAAAGTAAATTCAGTTTTCTTACTGCAGAATAACGTAACTTGATATTTTTTGTTTCATCTTTCAGTCTAGATATCAAACATCATTGTTCTTTTGTGCATCTCATACTTCCACATATGGGTTATGGCAGCAGCCAGCAAGTCACTTTCTACTAAACAGACCCTGGAGTGAATCAATGCATTTATTAATGCATGTTTGAAGATGAGGGTTAACTGTTTTTATTTAAGCAACAATAAATCTGCAGTAAGGCATTTTATTCAGAAGCAGCTATCTCTAAGGTACCTATGCCAGAATTATACAAGGAGTAGCTTTTCTCGTAGAAGCTGAATGACTGTTGAGATACAAGAACCATTATTTTGTTATTTTACAAGTTACATGTTGTTTTACAGTTGGAGCAAAGCTTTTTGCATCAGGTAAATATTTTCTCAAGTCTACTGGTAAAACTAAATACCAACCAGTTTGGTTACATGCAGAGGTGATATTGCAGATATGCTAGGATAACTTACTGGAACAAATACAGAAATGAGAGTTCCTTATGGACTTCATGTTTTAGGACAATACTGTAATAAAGGCAGCAGAGCTGAGGAAAGGGAGTGTGGGTGTAAAAAGGAGACTGCTTGATAATGGTTAGATAATTTTTCATGAAGTGCAGTAAACAAATATATCATTAGTATTTTGCATTATTTGCAAAGACATCGGAATTGTTGATTTAAGAAAAGGTTGATATTGAGGAGCAGACTGCTGACAAGTAGAGGGAGGGAACTTTTGGATTTCTTGGAAGGGTTAAAGGACTGGTCTTGCCCATTAATAGTGACTTTCACTATCTCACCATGGAACGAGAAAGATGAAAATCTTGTATAGGGTGTTTGAAATATATACACCTGTTGATCTAATTTAGTTGTGCTCTTGAATCTAATCAAATGGGTCATTTCTTAACACTCATACTTTTTGAAGTGCTGCCTTTTCCTTACACGGTAGGTCAGGGCCTCATTATCTGTCAGCGAGGAATCACTGGGTGATGTGACTTGTGTAGCTTGTGTTAAATAACTGATGGCCACAGATGGCTATGTCACAGTGGTGCACTCCTTCAGGCTCGGTAATGAGTTCTGCAGTGATCTACAGCCTCAGCCAGAACCTATGAAAAGGGGATCTTGTCTTCTCAGTTCTGTTACAAATTACAGGGTAGCTGTGGCTGTACAGTGTAGCTTTCAGCCATTTAACCCCTCTGTGTCTTCAGCTGCCCATAGGCAAACCAGAGATATATCCCCATTCTCCTACCTTTGTCCAAATCTGTGTGAATGTGATTTGGGCAAATGTCCAAAGCTTGTACAAAGATCAAACAATTGGACCTGAATCTCAGCTGGGATTGCAAATACCCCACGTAGCACCAATAAAGGAATTCATGGTTGTACTGAAAACACAGGTTTGCTTTCAGCATCTTCTGTTTGAGGGGGACTAGCGTGCTCAAGTTCTTCATTGTGTTTTCACAGCTGCTGCGAGTCCTTTGCATATGTTGGCGACCCATGCATCTGCCTCGGCCTCCCTCCCAACCAAGCGTCAGAATGGAGACCAGTCAGAACAGCAGGAACTCAAGCGTATCAAAACAGAAGATGGAGAGAGCATAGTCATAGCTGTTAACGTGGACACCCCACCTGTGGCAGTGAGTGATAAAGGCAGCCAGAACTAGAAACTTAGGGGAGTTTTATTTTTTTTTTCCGTTCTTTTCTTTTCTTTTTTTTCTTTTTTTTTTCTTTTTTTTAAGAAAAAAAAAAACAAAACAAAACTCCATGGTGCCAAAAGGAGACACTTAAATATAACACCTAAAATGTTGGAACATGTTCTCACGCAGTGGGGAAAGGGGCCCTGTGATCAGACTTCAACTTTCAGCACTGAAAAAAAACCCAACACAGGTGGCCTTAAAACTTGGTAATTTAAAGTCAAACTGCAAACCATCTTGTTCCAGAGGCTGTGACCCCCGCTCCTCCCTGCCCCTACCGAACTGTGCACACTGAGAAATCCAGTGTTGGGGAGGGCTGCAGCTTTAAAAAAAATCTCTATCAGATTATTTTAAGGACTGAGTATCTCAGTGTAACGGCAGCATGATAAGCGCTTAGTGTGAACTGGTTTCAAACGATTGTATATTCCTCAAAGGGAACAGAGGCAAGGAGCCATTTCCTACATCTTGGCAGCTAGCCTTTCATAATGACCTACCCGATGCAGTTGTTGGTAGATATGCAGTATTTTGTTGTTCACATGTGGAATTAGAAATTTTTGAGGTGTATTTTCATTTCTTTGCAAAACAATGGGGTCTTTGACATTTCAAATCACTCCATTTCTACTCCGGAAACTTTCGAATCACACAATACTTTTCATGTGAAATTTTGTTTGGTAAAAACTGAATGTAGGGTTTTTTTAACCAATGGAATGATTTACTTTTGTCTGTCCTGTTCAAGTTCAGATAAAGCTACTTTATTACATCTGCAAATTTTCATATTTTAGCAGTTGCCTGATAAATTTAATCAAATTTTATTACCATGTGTAGTGATCAAATGCTTCTTTGGGCTTGCATGTAACTGATTAGAAATTACGATGTAAATGAGCCGTTAACTGACGTAAAGAACTGCTATGAATTTGACCAGAGCTGCACTTACCTGTTTCTCTTTCTGCTACCTTTTGCTGTTTGTTACTTTGTGTTGACTTTGACTGTCCCTGGCATATTTTTCCAGTCTAAAGTAAAACAAGAGTCTCGCTTAATATTGTGTATGTTTAAGATAACAGACTGTTCTTCATTTAGAAAGATGAAATTCTTTATCACAAGTCCTTTTAAAAAGAGTAAAAATTATCTTGTCAGAGGTATATTCGATATTTTTAAGCTTAAGCACCCATCAGTAGAACTTAATCTGACCAGTCTCTCCATCACACTTTTGATGTCCTACACTGACCCCTCAGGGTCTCCAGTGAGCGTAGCTGTTGTGGTTTTCTAACAGTGGCTACCATGTTATTCTAATATTTTATTTTTTTTTTAAGTGTGTGTTCTGCAGTTGAACATTTAAAGCTGTATTGGTAATTTCTCACTTTAATCGTGGTAATAGATTCCACTTTACATTTCAAAATTAAATTGCAACGTAAGGCTGCTGTTCAGTCTTTAATTCACATTAACGTCTTATCTCCTCATGCAGTCAGGTGAGTGGAAGCTGCATCGCTGGCTTCAGTTGAATCTGATTCTCGTCATTTTCTGTACTAATGATGCATTATTTATATTTTCCTTTCCCTGTATGAAAGGAAAGATTGTGTTCTCATGCTGGACTGAACAGTTTGAAGTGGTTTATTTAGGCAGCTTTTGGGAACTATTTACCTGAAGACCAAATATGAGAAATCTGTACAAGTTTTGTGTTCATCCACAAAATGGAACTGTTACAATGTCTCTGCAGATAATACATATTAAAAAACTATGAAAAAAACCACCAACTCTACACAAGCTGAATTTATAACAGGCATTGAAAAAAAAACCGCATAACCTGGAAAAGAAACATTTCTGTAAAACTGCAACGTTTTCTTTAGAGGTTTTAAAAATAAAAAAGTAAAGTTTTAACATACTTTTTTTAAGAAAAAAAATCCAGTACTAGTAATTTAATTTGGTGTTGAATGAATTGACTAGAATGTGGTTTATTTTCAGAAGTGAGAATCTGTTCACAACTAGGGCTAGGTGAATAATAGTGTATAAGATTTTTTAAATAAAATTAAATTTTATTCAGCAAACTAACTAAGTTGACATTACTGCACCAGTGTGTTTGAAGTATTTATGTGTATTTTGGGGCAATTAATCCAATTTATGTTGGCAGTGCCACAGGAAAAGCCATCAGACCAAACAAGCCAAGGTGTCCTCACTGTCAGGTAATGATAGGCAACATCCTTGGGGCATAGGGGGAGGTGGGAGTATGCTGTGGCCTGACTTTGGCTGGGATGGAGTGAAGTTTCTTCCTAGTAGCTGGTAGAGTGCCAGGCTTTTGCTTTAGTCCAAGAATGATGTTGAATAATGTTGCAGTGTGGTGGAGTTTGATGCTTCTTGGCGCATGTGGAGTTTGGCACAAGAATGTGTACTCTGTTCAGGTGGATGAGCCCTTTGGGAAAGCTGCGTGATGGGAGAAAACTGCTTATGCTCTTCTGTAAGAATCACATCCACTGACCCATGCTTTGGGTGGTGCTAAGGACACTTTGACAGGACCATCCCCAGTGCTTTTGACGAGTGCAGGGTTCTGTCCTGCTCTGTCCTGACTAAATTGAATCGTTGGGTCGTTAAGACAAGCCTGTTCCCTAGTTTGTCAGTGTAGTGATGAGCCTCCCACCACCAGTCCAGCGGTGGTGAGCACAGGATGGCAGAGGCAGAATGAGACTCTGGTTGTGCTTCTGCTTCTGAAGTGATGCCGATGACCTTTCTTTAAGTGGTGTGAGTGTGCTGCTCATCCTGGACACCTGCAGTCAACAGGATCTTTCTTTTGCAAATGGAAAATTTCTTCAGGTGATTCATGTACGTAGAGATTTGACCTTTCTTTAGGAACTGATACAACCTTTGCAGTTACCTTTGGTGTTTTGTGATGCAAGGTATTACTCCCTTTTGTGCTCCTTCTCAGCTGCCTGTTTTGTGTTCTTTCTGTTAAGAGTCAGCTTTTGTGTCATCTTTAAAATGACTTTGAGAAAGACTCAGAATTATAATGTACGGAAGACCCAGTGCTCGTGTCTAGTGACAGAAGTGTTTGTCTCTCCACTACCAGCATGTGCTGTCCTTACACAGACCCCTCTCCCTGCCTGAGCCAGCTGTGTGTAGCTGGTTTGGGAGGGTGGCAGCATGGCCAGTGGGCTGCTTCTGCCTTTGGACACCACAGTTCTGCCATCGTGCTGGGTGCTGTAACAGCAGCTGTGAGGGCATTGTATGACCTGGAGTGGTGACACTGAGTCTGCAGAGCAGAGGTGGGCTGCAGGTGGAGTGATGTCAAAGGCTGGTTTCTCTGGGTCACCAGGGTTAGTCTCAGTTCTGAGCCACTGCCACTCATTATAATGATATAAGAGACAAACTAGGAGAGGGAAAGCATCAGAAGTGAAGTTTTAGTACCAAATAAGAACAGCTATTTTAGTCTTTCAGTGCACAACCTACTTGTAAGAATGAACAGAAGAAAGTGAGAGCTGTGTTTTACCACGGGAAGAAAATAAGTACCTTCCTTTAGCCTGACCTTCCTGTACTCATTGTAGTCACCTAGAGAGCTATAAAAGCAAAGCAGTGTATTTACCCTGATGCCAGCAGCTGGTGTTGTGCCATTTTAAACTGTGCTGTTTCATGTAAGTACCTTGTGCCATGCTGACCCCAGAAGCCACAAAAGCACTTCTCCCTGAGCCACTGCCCCAGGCTGATGGCTGCGCAGAGGCAGCACAGGGCAGTGCTGCTTTTCTGGCTTTTAACATGCAGAGTCATGTGGAAATGTTGGGGTTGAGAATGACTTAAATCCAGAAGTGGAATTTGATGTTTCAGCCATCAATTTCGGATCTATGGTTTGTGTCTTGGTTTAATTTCCCCCAAAAGATAAATTTTTATTGGTTGGTTGCCATTAATACAGATTGGGTTGGGATTTATATAGTTGTGATTTTGTATATATATGTTTGTTAGAGATAAATATCTATATAGAGTATATTATATCTCATTTACAGTAAACTGAGTGCTGCTTTCTAATAACTTGGCTGACCCCTTTCTGTACCTGATACAGTTTTACATTCTGAGAATTCTGTGTTGGGCCTGGCCCAAAATGAGTTGAAAAAGGGAATGGCTGCAGTTTGGAATTACGTGGGCTGCTTTTAATCATCAGGTTCTTCTTGATCGTATTTGTGGACTGGCAGATGAAAACAAGCTTTGCTCCTGCTTCTTTTCTTTCCCAACTATTAATCAATTAAGAATTATTTTTTCTATCAAAGAGTCTCATTCTTCTGGAGGTTGTGTTGCATTTGAGGCTGATCTCAGGTACGTGGCAAGGGAGTTCAGTGATTTAACAAAATGCTGGTCACAAGTGCAGTGATGGAGCCCAGGTTGCCACACACTTAACAGATTATTGGTTTTTTAGAAATCACTCTAGTGAGAGCCGCACTGTCTGGACTCGTTTCCATGAGTGGTGGTTTGGTTTCTGAGCCTCTTTGTACCTTAGTTACATGCTTTTTGTTTCTGGTCGTTGGGGAAATGCTTCTGTCTGAAGTACCAGAAAGCCTTGCTGCATGCTGGGTCTTGCTTTTCATGTCAAGACTTCCAAGAGCTGAGGAGAAATCAAAGGTGTGCTCCAAAACTCCTGCAGGGGGCTGGAATATTTGAAGCTGAAAGAGCATAACCTGCTCCTTTAAAAAGAACAGCTTGTTGTGTGAAATCCCATGGGATCTCTTGCAGCCAGGCCTGAGGCACTGCCTTATTTGAACACATACAACCTTTGGGGAAGAAGGGGAAAAAAAAGCAGCAAAATGGGGGTACTGAAATGCTCAGCAAGACAGAGGTCACGACCTGTGGGCCTGAAGTAGGACTCACTCCCAAGTGGTCGCTGTTCCGGAGCTGCTGTATCCAGGTCAGTGGTGTCTGCCATGGACACAAGCACTAGTCTTGTGTCTTATGTATTATACCTTTAACAATTAATCTTGTATTTTCTACTTTAAATACATAGAGGTCCTGAAAGAAACACTGTGGCTCCTGCCAGGGAGCACGTGGTTGGTATTACCAGTTGATTCAGTCCTCTGGCTGATCCACTAGTTTTCCCTTCAGTATTTTGAACTGTGGCACAGGTACTGTGGAAAGAGGCAGCAAAACGGGGAGAGAAGGCACTTAGTTATTTTTAAATAAAAATAAATTAATGGTCCATATACTTAACTAGCTGATGCTGATGGAAAGACTTTTTCAGGAATTGTCCTTGTATTGCAAATTCTGCCAGCTCCTCGTGGTGGGCAGATGAACCCAGCGGCACCATGGGCCTGTTTCCCTCCCAGTCTACAGGGACAGCATATGTCTAGCCACATGTTAAACCAGCTGTACTTACAGGAGGAAAGGCTAGCGGAACCCTGGACTGGAACACTTGTGTTAAGCCAAGAATTTGACATTTAAAAACCTATTTAATCCTCTTTAGTTGCACAGACTTGTACCAGCTTACCGTGCTCTCTTTCTATGCTGCAGCTTCCTGTAGAGCAGGGCAACGTTTGAAAGGTGATGGTTGCTCATTCTGGCCTTGCAGACTTGATCTGTATTAAGCCTATGCCTGCCTGGGTTGTGATTTGCTGGTGCCCTGCCCGGGAGCAAGTATACATTCCTGCTGTGTGTCTGAGCTTCACAGTGCACTGACCCTGCAGCCAAATCAGTCCCTCTACATGGTGGATACATGGTCCATCTAATACATGAAGTACAACTTCCCAAACAGGTGATTAAACTACCAGATGAAGATATGTAAAACCTTCAAAGCACCATGCAGAAGCCTTGATGGTTTAGGTATTTTCCCTGCTATTTAAAGCGAGTACAGCTGACTGGATCGGACACAGCTACAACTGTGCCAGCGAGAGGACATCTGTCAGCCTCAGAGGATCATCTCTTGTGTTGTCCTGCTCTGGGGAGATGCAGCCACCTCCAGCTGGTGGTTGTGTTGGTGCAGCTGTGACCAGGGTGGAGCAGCAGAGCAGCCATGTGGTGGTGCAGATGTTGGTGTCAGTACCAAGGTATGTGTCCCAGGCAGCGGTTCGTAGCTTTACTGTCCTCTGTTTACATCCAGCTTCTGTCCTTCAGCAGTGATCACTACTGTTACCTACTTATCCCCCACACCTCTGGCATTAGGGACCTTGGCTGTGGGCATCAGTGAGTACAGCAAAATTAGTCACTTTTATTTAAAAGAAATAACATTACAAATAAGTGTGCAAAACAATTTCTGTGATTATACACATAAAAGCAACATGCAACTTTGACATCAAAGTCTGTGTAGAAGTTGTTAGTCCTTAGTATGTTACATGACACTAAACGAAACTTGTCAAATTTAGTGTGCAGCTAAACAACCTTAGAGGGACCTAGCGTGTGTGAAATGGGATTCTGAAGAGGAGGCCTCCCCTTCCCTAGGCATTCTGTGCTCAGAGCAGAGCTTGTATCTATCTTGGCTTCTTGTTTAGCATCTCGTGCCTTAGTTCAGCAGTAAATATGTGTTGGCCATGTAACAAGTTTTGGGAAGGAGTTTACATGTCAGTGGGTTTAGTCTCGCCTGACTGTCCCTAGGCCAGCAGAACTTGGTATACAACATCCCACGTGGAAAGAAAAAAAGGAAGGGTGGCAGGTTTAAAGCCACTGCAGACAGATGCTTCATGCCCCCTGGTTCAGTGACCATGCTGGAGATGATGTACCCCATCACAGCATTCCAGAAGCATCCGAACAGCTTGTGCACTGGTACAAGGGTGGCACTTAATCCAGGAGCGGCTGTTCTGTTGCAGGAGGAATCACTCACCTCCACCGCTCCAGGAGCTCCCAGTGTCTGAACACCCTGTGTGCTAGTACCTAAACCCCCCTTCAGCCTTCCTGTGCAGTTTGGCATCTTCCATAGTTGGTACTGATCACTTGACTCGCCCATGGGCATATGGGAGCAGTGGTCTGGGGCTGTGCAGCTGCCACCCCCTTCCCTCCCCAGACCAGGTCAGGTCAGGCCAAGCCTGGCTGAGGCTACAGCCAGCTCTGGCCACACACTTGTCCCCCCTTTCCTCTCTTCCCCTTGGGTGTGGTCAGGCACCACCCTGCTCCCTGCTGGGCTGGCAGAGGTTTATCTGCACATGATTCAGTGTTCCCCCCACTCCCAGCCATTTAGAACTCCCCTGCTGGCACTTCCCTCTCTCTGAAGCCAGGTGTAGGTCTGTACACCCCTGCAGCTCTTCAGTGTGGCAGGCACTCACGTTCAATTGAAAGTCGTCACAGTTTAGAGCAAGAGAAACCCAGTAGGCACAAGCTTGTTGAAAGCCACATCTTGAAAACTTGAGTTGATGACAGTAACCCAAAGAGATTTTAATGATGAATACTTGCAGAAATGAGAAAAAACATACGTAGTCCACTACTTCAGAGCCTCCTGTGATTGTGCTCGGCCAGGCTTCTTAGTAAGGTCTGCTAGACTTCTTGATCAGTACTGGCCACTCGTATACTGTCCTTCCAAAGGTGTGGAATAGCCAGGGCAGTGCTTTGACCCGTGCACTCCCCTCAGCCCCATCAGAGCTTGTCATCAGTCATTTCTAGAAACTGAGCATAGACATCCCTTGAGCATTCCCCTTTTTGGTTGAACAAGAACTTGTAGTAGCTGCCATCTGCGCATATTGCTGAAACAGAGACAAAGAGGGTCAGTTCAGCTGGGCAGAGGGATAGGTTTGCTCCCCAGCTCCCGGCCACTGTAGCCCAAAACCTGGTTCTCCAGACAGAACCTGGAGAAGCCTCCACTGCTTACCTAGGACAGCGTTTGGCTCTGTTCCAAAGGCACAGATGCATGGAGAGCCTGAGGGAACCTGAAATTTGGAAAAACTCCATTTGGAACTGAAGTATTTGGGGAGAAAGGTGGCAGAGGCCAAACTGAAAGAGAGAGAGGGGAAAAAAAGGCATAACAACTTAGTAAGGTGTTGACTCAAGTCGATTTAGAACTGCTCGTGTGTCTGCACATGTCATCGGGTTCACGCTAATGGCTTTTGTTTTCTTCCACAAAGTATCCAATAATAGGTATGATTCCCCTTCGGGGGGGGGGGGGGGGGACACACCCTGCCACTAACTACATTTCTGCTTTTACATTTTTAAGCAACTGCAAAAACTGCCCAAAACCTTGATTTTTAGTCAGAGTTTAGAGACTGCTTTATGTGAAATAGCCACAAACTATGTGCTGAGATGGCCACAAACTATGTGCTGAGATGGCCACAAAAGCAACACCCTGACCTGCTGCTGGAATCCTACTGCTTACCCTCCCAAATCCACAGCTTCACTCAAGCACAGCAGACTGGTCTTACCACCTCCATAGTGCAGGTACTTGGTACTGCCTGACAAGACCCATAATTTGAAGTCTTGTTAAAGCCCCTCCACAGCCCCCAAAGTCTTCAGAATGCCTCTGGCCCTACCTTGACTGCTTATTTCTTTTGGGGTCCTCTGCAGCAAAGATGTGCACTGTGCCGTGGTCGCTGGACACGCAGATCAGGGAAGCATCCTGATTGAAGTTAATACTGTAGAGAACACAGGCGGTTGCAGTCTTGCTACTGAACATAACCCCCACAGCTCCCAGTGTGCACAGCAATGGTGCTGCCGCCGCTGGCTGGAGCAACTGCAAGGCAGGGAGCAATGGCTCCGCTCTGCAGGTGCTGCTCCTTTGCTGACAGGATGGAAAGCCCCTCAGGGGTGAGTGTGTGCCCTCAAGCAGAGGGCCTGGTATATCAGCAGCCGTGCTGCAGTGTGCCTGGGCACAGACAACATCTGTGTGGGACATTCAGCCACTGCTGGGAGAACACACCCACTATGCTCTGAGGAGGTACTGGATTCAGTGGGCAACACTCATACCTGGAGTGGTGCTCAGTAAAAGAAGGGAAGTTGCCCCACTCCTGGGAAGATGCTTCCAGCAGTGGATTAGGGTCAAACCTCTGCCGGGGCTCTCGCATGCAGAGTGGCACTGTGTGAGAATAAACCTCCCCTTGTCCCAGGGTGTCCACCCCAGCCTCTCTGGGCACTGTTAAACTGTGGCATTGCCTTCCCCATATTCAGTGTGGAGGTGAAGTATGCCCCCAGCTCCCCTTTACTCGACACACAGCTCGATTATCAGTACATAATCCATGCTGGGCTTCGCCAGCTACTGCTTTCTCCTCACCAGCATGGAGCAGAGAAGAGGCAGCACAGGCCCAATGTACCCCTGTGCCTGCAGCACTGTCACTTCCCTCTGCTTTCTGGAGATGACTTGTGTGCTGTTGCCACAAGGGTGCCTCAGCACAACACCACCCACAAGAGACAGCAATTAAACGTACCAGTAGATGTTGGCTGCCTGTGATCCTCTGCGTAGCTCCTGGATTAAATGCCCTGATGAAGTATCAAATATTCTTATGAGGGTCCCCTTGAAAAGGAATCAAGCATTACATTAGCAAAGACAGAGGCTTCTCTTTGCATCTGTGAATGCATCCGAGACTTCCACCTGATCAGCATGCCCTACATACACAGTTTTTCAACTCCCATAGGTCTGGGAGAACCTCTAACTTTTGGGAACTTCTGGGAAGGATTATCAAATTTCACACACGCCCCACAATATTACAGTGTTTTGGTTCTTGTTCCTTAGCTACTCAACTGAGGAAGTTTCTCCCAGGTTATGTTGCAAAGCACTAGTACAGCCCTGGCCTTAGTTTGCAAACACTGGAGCAGACTTGTGTATAGCTTTTTGGGCTGGTGTTCTGCGTATAACTTTTTTCTTGTTCCCCACATTCCCTATTGTGCTTTGGTTGCTACTGTGGAATTTCTTTTTCCCACTAAATACATTCAGGCTGCGGCTGGACTCACAATTAGTTCAGTTGAAGTAATGCAGAAGAATTAGTTACCTGTCACATGCTTATTATCTGTATTGATCCAACCCTGAGGGATCCCAGAGTCAGGTTACAGACAGTGCTGTGCTGGAGAACTGCACTTTGGTTAAACCAAGCTGACACCAGAGACGCAGAACAAGTCAGTGATACCAAATAAAGGGACTTTCACCTGATTAAAAGAGGGTCTGCCTCATCCCCCACAACTCCTGCCATACACCTGGTTAACAAAAGCATCTTTCTGGTCACACACCAGTAACTATCACAACCCAGCAGAGAGAAGTAAATATCAGCTGAGTTCTGATTTAAGACTCAAGCTGGAGATGTCCACTTGCACCCTGCTCACAATGGCAGTTTGCCCATCCTCCTATTTCAGGCTGAAAACACTGAACCTTTTCTCTATACCAAGAGAGGAATGTGTCAAGACAAATTCAGCAGATGACTGTTCTATTTAGCAATGGAGTTAAGCTCAGTTAAGAAAGCCTATGGCTGCACTTTCTGTTTTAAAGCTTTTTGAGCTATAGGCTGTGCAGTAGAAACTCTTCTAAGCAGAGACTGGATGGATTAATTTAGCTTCTCTTGAGCAAGTCATTTCAGCCGAGTGCAAGAAGGTAACAAGGACCTCAGCCCCAGTGCTCCTCAGGAGCCACATCTCACAAGCCAACTTCCCAGACATCCCATGGAGAGAGAGGGCAGCTCCACAGCTTTGTCTCCTGTCTGGTGCTCCTTTCAGCACCAGCCCAGAGGGTTTTGCATTACACACAGTAACTTCAGATTTTTGTCAGCATAATTTAAGCAGAATTAATGAAGGTGAAAGAATGCAAATAAGCCTCCCCCCACCCCTTTGTTTTTAAAATCAATAGTATCTGATAGAAGAATGTGACACTTGTGCACTGCTTGGGCCAGATCTCATTCAAATGCCACTGAAGAGCCACTGGGGCAGTGGTCAAACACAAACATGACCTCTGGGTCACTGTGGTGTATCCTACCCCAGAGGAGCAGTGGAGATCCAGACTGACACCGTGTACAGCAGTGACAAATCTTCCAGGTAGTTACCGCCAGCCTTTCCTACAGAAAGGATGCTACTTCCTATTTCAGGAGAACTCACTGCACTGGAGCACACCGTACACCAGAGGTGGGAGGATGCAGGACTTACTTTTTCTGATGCTGTTGCAATCCTTGTTCCCTGCAGGTTCAAAGCGATGCAGCTCAAGACTCCTTCATGGGCTGGTATGTCTACAGGAGGCTTTTCTGTATTGGCAAGATCCACTATCTGCACGTGCCCAGTGTGTGTTCCAGGAAATGCAAGGAGAGAATTATTACTATTCGGACAGAGGACACAGAGACCTAGAAGACAAGGAAAAAAGAGAGCAACAGTGTAGTTTCCGTAAGAAAGTTCTCAAACATAAGTTTCCAAAATATTGGTAATTTCAGAACGAACAAACATGTAGGAAATCAGAATTTCATTTTAATGGCTACTGCAGCATCCCAAAACATGATCTGTCCATAAGTGCAAAGCACAGAGAAGTAAGGGAGTAGCATAGTTTCAACTTGCTCTCATCATTTCAAGAGTAAGCTAGTGGTGGTTACCCAAAACCTGCATGTTCTCAGAGATCAGCTCCATCAGTCTGCAACAGCAAAGGTGTTTAAATAAGAAATAAAGTCTCCTTAGGAGCTTAGAAAGGGTGAGAGTTTATAACAGGTGATAGTTTAGCTTCTCTACACAAACATGGAGTTTAGAGGGTCTTCACAGAAAGAGCACATGGCTCCTTCTTATAGAAACCAAATCTGTATTGTAACAGGAGTACACGAAAAAGCTTTTCTGTGCTTTTTTTTGTACATGAAAAAGCTTTTCTGTGCCAAGTATCAGCCTGGAGAAGAGAAGGCTCTGGGGAGACCTTAGAGCACTTCCCAGTGCCTAAAGGGGCCAAAAGAAAGCTGGAGAGGAGCTTTTCACATGGGCCTGTAGGAAGGGGAGACTGAGATGAGCTCTTAGGCAGAAGCTCTTCCCTGTGAGGGTGCTGAGGCGCTGGCACAGGGTGCCCAGAGAAGCTGTGGCTGCCCCATCCCTGGCAGTGTTCAAGGCCATGTTGGACGCAGGGGCTTGGAACTGGATGAGCTTTAAGGTCCCTTCCAACACAAACCATTCCATGAAGTAGTATTAAACGTTAATATCCATTTATAAATACAAAAGCGTCTCCACAGGGCATGACTACAGTGCACTAAGTAAACTGTTCAATGACTTACTAACCAACCCATTCGTGCAGGCACAGATGAACAGAACAAACCTGCAGGCATTCCCCAGCCCGCACACACACAACTGACCTTTAGGGTTGTAGCAGGTTTCAAAGACGTGCAGCTGGTGGGGATTGTGTGTGAACGTGAAAACTTTGATCATCGAGTCCAAGACTACCACAATCCTGAAAGAGACAAAGCGTTCCTGTGACTTGGGGTGGGTGAAACCGGGACACAGGTACCAACTCGGATCTGCAGAGGCTTTCAACTGATCTAATGGCTGTGTTCTCCTGTCCGTCCCCCCCTCCTCACAGCATTGCATCTATGAGCCTGCAAAGCCCTTTTATCCAACCCCTCCACCCACAGAGACTCCAGCTGTTAAGAGATGCTCTTGCTCTAGCTCTGCTGAATCCCTTTCACACTCCTCTGTACCTGGAAAAGCAGCAGCCATGTGAGAACACTTCCTGATATTAGGGGGCCAGAAAATCTTACAGCCTTTTCACCAAGGTTTCAGGTACCAGTTCACAGCCCAAGTACACTGCTAACACCTAACGCCTGCCCTTGAAAACCAGGTTTAATTCCTGGAGTTAAAGCAGGATCTTTTTCTTGCTACAAACAGCTAGAAATGAGTAAGAACAGCGTAGAGAACCAAACCATGTTTGGAACACTGTCATACCCACCTGTCTCTTCGCAGCTTAACGGCTTTGACTTCTGTTGAAAACTCTATCTCAATGACAGTTTTCTTCTTCAGGTCATCCCAGATCATTACTAGAACAGTGCAGAGATCGTGTTAGAAGAGCCTGAAGAGCCACATCCCTTGCAACAGCTTCTGGTGTCTGAGAAGGCTAATCAGAGGTGCATCCAATAGTAAGCAGTTACAGGCTGGCATCCTGCTAACCAGAATGTATTTAGCCACCACACACCAACCTGCTCTCTCATGCTGTGACTCGCGCAGGTAGGAGCTTGTAAACTACAACCACAAAAGCTGACAATACAAATAAGTACATTTTTCTAAACACAATCTGGGGTTTTTTGTTCTGCTCCAAGAGTTACAAATGAGGCAGCAGTAAAAAAAGTGTTGTATTTTCCCACAAAGCTTGCCAACAGGGAGCTTTTCCACCCTCAGGCTGCTGAGCCTGTGCATAGCTAACTGTGAGGAGCACAACCTTTGCCACCAGGTCACGGAGCCTGGGCACTGCAGTTAACACCACAGTGCTGCAACTTACCTCATTGCTCCCGCTGCACCATCCCCTTCACCCAGCCTTCGGGATGCCAGACCCCAGCTCAAGGAGGTCTGGTTTGTTTTGAGCTCCCCAGGCAGTTACACACAGAACAAAGCAACCCTTTCCAAGACCCCTCAGACTCACCTTTGTTAGGGGGGTACTTGGGCTTTTTTCCTCCACCTACCAGTGCTAAATAGTTGCAACGAAACAACATCTCAACGTGGCCAACGCCACCTTCTAGGAATTCTGCAAGACAAATGAATGTTATTTAAGTGTCAGACCCCATTACATTGACATCTCTTCCTCACCCCACTGTTAGAATAAAAGCTTGTGTTCTCCAGCACATCTCTCAGGCATCAGAGAAGACTAGTGTCTTCTTACCCTGGCTGACCCTAAAAAACAGAGAATCCTCTTGGTGACAGCAAGAAACCTTCACTAAAAGGGTGGGGGTTTGGGGGTTTTGTTTGATTTGTTCTGGTTTTGGTGCTTGTTTAAGATCAGAATTCTCCGCACAATTGCTTTATTTTTCACAGCAATCAAGACCACCCCTGCTGCTGTCACACAGCTGGGACAGGCTTTATCCTGATCTATAGAAAAAGCCCAGCAAAGTTTAAAACATGCTGCATGAGAGGAGATGAAGCAACATCATCTTGGCAGCTCAGTAACGCCTGTTACACAGCCGGCTTGGAAATAACCTGAGAAAGATTTCGTCAGCTCAGATGCATTCCTCACACACATTTCAAGTCTGGTGTTGCTCTATTATGCTACTGCCACGCATTTAGAAAGATGCCAGCAGCATTCATTAGTCATAACCTTTTTTATGTGCAAGGGGATGTGTCTTAATAGACTTGGGTTTGAGGGAAGAAGGGAAACACACAGCGATGAACTAGAAGCTCTAGTGCTGTGCAGGAGCACACCTGTAGCTGCTGGAACAGGTAAGTGCAGTCTGGCTCCAGCAAGCCTCAACTTGGTGATGCAGAAAAGCTGGTGCAGACAGCTTCTCCTTTGGAGAGCAAGAAAAAGAGGTTTCTTTTTACTGCAGAGAAAGTAGAATACACCATGCTCGTGGTGCAAGGGGAGGAACAAAGATAACCAGAGGGGTTTATAATAAAAGAATTGTTCTATTTAATGACATTTGAGGGGGGGGGCTTGGCTTTGTTTATGTAGCTTAGAGGGATGGTTGGCATTCCATTGAGGAGAGGGAACTGAACTGTCGGGAGGAGGCTGGCTGTGGCCTTCAAGGTAGATGAGCAGAGTTAATAATAAACTTCCAAAGACTGTCCAGTACCTCCATACACTGGTAGGCTGGAGCAGGAAATGCAGATGAAACCAGTGAACTGCTTCAAAGCTAAAGAAGCAGCTGAAATTTCACAAGGACAAGAGAGAGAGAGACCTACTGTCAGAAATAGGGATGGGAGAAACCAGCAACAATGCCTGAGGAGCAGGGAGCCCTACAACAGGAAGATGATGGAGATGTATGCATGAAGGAGAGGACAAAAGAGATTCAGTCAGATGCTAAGCAGCGTGGCAGTACATCTGGATGAGGAACTGATGCTGGGCCTTTGACCATACAATGCTGAAAGTAGATGCCTGGAAAGATAACCACACTGGAGCAGTAATGCCTTGGATTTCATACAAGTCCTTGTGGTTTCTTCACACCATTTTTAAGTTTCCTTCCTGAACAGCTGCATTTGGACATTACCCCCTTCTGCACCAGATTCTCCTCTTAACTCCATTAAAGCATTCAAAGCACGACAGCACATTTTACTATGAAGAGGTATTACCACCAGGACAAAAAGTCTTAAAATACTTACAAATGCTAGCCCAAGACAGTTTAAGAACATGCAGCGTGTTCTGGATCTGTTAGAACACTTTAATCATTCTCTTTACAGTTCTGACACTTGATAACTGGATGAGGAACTTCATGGAACTCCTGGCTATAAGACAGACAAGGCAGGGTGGAACAGGTAAGACCTGGCTTCATACTGGGTTACAGGAATCAATCAAATAGACAAGCTCCACCTGGGAATATTCTTAGGTAGGTGCAAAAATACACAGAAGATGACCAAGGTTTCTCTGTGCACCTATGCAGCCGGTACAGCCTGACCTCTCAGAATCCACAGGGAAAAGGCAATCCAACTTGGAAGGAGCATTGTGCCAGAGGAGTCCTGAAGCATGTCCAGAACCACTGGCAGGGAGAGTTCTGACACGGAACTCAACAGGACTTCAAGCTTCACTCTGATCCTTTGAGCACGCTATCACAGATGACAGTCCCAAGACATGTTACTTATGGAAGAATTTGCTATTAAGAATAGAAATAGTTTGTCAGCTTTGGTCACATGAATAGTGACTAAAATCCCTAACAGCACTAGAAAGTGAAAGCATGCCTGGTTTCATAGGAACTGCTCTGTTAAATACATTTTTCCTCTTATTAAATCCTTCCTATCACCACAGGCTGCGAACACTGGGTGACATGGTCAGCATGGCAGCTTTCTGCCTATATTTAGGGTTAGAATCAATGGCTAGGTTTCATTTTCCCTTATTTCTGCTGAGTTAGGTTTGCTTTCTGATGAAAAGCCCCACTACCTGTTAACGTGGTTCATTTGGTCATTTCTGGCAAGACATGATTACTGCTTTGAGATCCTTTCTTAAGCATACAGAGAATGTAAGATTTCAAGTATTAGAGGTGGGTGCTCAGAGCGCTCTTGCAAGCAATACTCTTTAAGTATGAGAAATGTTATGTTCAGATCTCCAGTAGAAAGGCAGCTGTGTCATTGCTGCACTAGATCACTCAGATTACTGCATAAGAACACAACAACTTCTCCTGATGGTACATGACACCGCTGCAGCAAGCAACTCCTCTCCCACTTGTGAACAACCAGGCAACTTATCTCCCACTCAGGACTACAGACATTAGCAATAGTTACACAATTCAGCCGTTGCAAGAATGTGAGACAAACACATCACCAGCCAGCTTTATGCAAAGTAATAGCATTTAAACATTTGAGTAAGTGAGAGTCCCTTCAGGACAAGCATGGACTTCCTTCCTTGAGGCTTTATTCAAAGCCTTCCAGTGATGGAACAGTGAAAGCTAAGCAGGAACCTTACAGAAAACACAAGAGTAGGATAAGCTTCCAAGGCAGAATTACCACAATATAATAAGTAAGCATTTTACCTTGTTTCTCTTTTTCTTTGAGGGGATCTGCATTATATACTCTGAATCCATTTTCCATTCCACATGCAAAGCATCCTGTAGTAAAAAGCACATATATATACACATATATAGTAACTGCGAGATAGATACACTCAAAAACTAAGCAAGAGCCAGAGGGTTAGGAGCATGACTTGGTAACTGCATTGTGTTAAACTCAGGCTGAAGACCACTTGCAGCTTTGTTAGTCATTGCAAGTGAAAACCCTTTAGACCAGTTGTCTTCCACTTTGAGTGGAGACCAGTGGAAAGTTCTCAGTATTCTTTTTTAGACAGGAGAGAAAACAATGGAAGGAAAGGAAAGCAATTCCCACCCCATCTGTATCCTATGCCAGGCACTGCAGAGGGAAGGAAACCTGTATTTTACTTCTTATGGCCCAGCAGTCATTATGAAGCAAACCCCCTCCTTTCTTATTAAATCCAAATTTACACTGCGGTTACAACTACAGGAGTATGATCCATTGCTCATGTTGCCACAGAAGAAAGTTTCTCAAACATAGCTTTAAAGAAAGCTCTAAGAGAGGTACTGCTGTCAGGTGTCAGTAATTGCATGCCAGTAGCTCAAGTCTAAACCAGGGAATTATTAGACGATAAATTAAAATACTCTGGAAAATAATTTCAATTACTTTTATGCAGTTACTAACATAAAGAAGTGCCCACATGAAGTTAGAGCAATTACAAGTCATTAAGAAGCAGCTACTGTTGCTGAAGGCAGACTGACAGAACATTAGCTACTCCATTATGTATGTGCACTGCATCAAAAACCCAGTTCAAGACGAAGGTACTGGAACAAAGATACTCAGATTAGCCTGATTTTACTTTTACCCACTGCAGTGACTGCAAGGGTATGAACCCCCCCAAATAAAATTGAGGAGCTGTGTCTAAAGGCACCCCTTCTCCATACTCAAACCCCAAAATCACAGGGTGGTGGGGAAGGAAGGGAAGCCTTCACTCTTAACGCATGGTCTCCAAACCATCTGCTCACAGCCAGGTCACCCATGACTTCCTGCACACAGACTCTACCGGTTTGCTGAGCAAAGGCTCAGAAGCTGGCAAAAAGGCTCAGAGTGCAAGAGGCTGCTTCAGGTATTCCTGGTGTTAAAGCTCACAAAGAGCCAGCAACGTTCACCCAACACACACTGCTCACTGCCTGTGCTCTGCACACTGTGAGCATAATACAAGCTCAACTGGAAAATTGGCATATGCTCACTGAAGAGCAAGGGAGCAACATTCAAGCCACATCTCCCACTGCCCCTATCCTGATGGAGGTTAAGATGTCACAGGAAACAATACAACTGGTGCCATCTTTTGTTGTTGTTGTTGTCATAAACCAGACAAAAAATGTCAATGTTCTTGCATAACAACATAAAAACTTACAAGAAACTTGATCTTGGCAACAGCATTACTTTAAAAACTGTAATTTGGTAAAAATACAGTGAATTTGAGATTCATTTTTAATACTTCAAGAGTTTAATTCCACGTAGCACCACTTAAAAAACAGCCACCAACCAAACTCAACTAAAGCCAACCAACCAAAGCCAACAGCAACATAAACAAGAGACACCCCACACCTCCACCCCCCCCGCTTTTGGGACAGGTATCCTACAGGGCGTGGGGAGCGTTTGGTAGCATCCTTCGAGTTCCCATTCAATGAACTCGAACATACAAAGGAATAATTACTACAAGATCCATCTCTGCACCCTTTAGTTAGGAAGGAAATCGATTAACCCTCTTATTGTAGACAGTCACCACCAGCAGAGCCACAGGCCCAACATACTGAACTGTTCTAACACTACCAGTTAGCTAACCAGAGAAGAAAATAACACACACAAACTTACCTCCCCAACCCGAAAGACTCACAGGCACAACTTCACCTGTCCAAGATCTTGTACCAAGTTAAGTGCAAAAAGCTCTTATTTACACGTGTAAATACACACAGTGAGCAACAGGAATAATTATAGACAATTAGTAAATATATTGAAATAGATGATTTTAAATTGACCATATTAATTTTACCTCCTCCCTTCTCCATGCATCATTCATTAGTCTGCTGCCAACTGAACACACAGGAATGCACTGCGCTGAAACCACAGCACCAACAAGCTGCTGCCTCCTGCAGTCTGCTTCCAGCAGATACATTGTACTTTACTGCGACAACTTGAAAGTAAATGACAATGGAAACGTGTCTCTACGTAAAACAATACCGTACTTCCGGTACCTGTAGTGTGTATCCATGTCATTATTTTTCCAACAACATTTTTATAACAGAGCATTGTGTTTCTAGGAGAGTGAAGCTGAAATGTTTGACAGTAAAAGAGCGCTGTAAAGTTCTACTTGTATTAGTATCAGCAGCTTACAACAAACCCAAATGGAACATTGCTGATGCAATAAAATGCAGACATGATGTTTCCTGTAGCACCACTACAGCTATTCTGCAGGAGTAACCTCGTGACTAAGACGTGGGCTGCTTTTGATGGCTTCGGAATCATCTATATTTTAACTGGAGACAGCACACCAGAATTGGCAACTGTGAGTAACAGTGAGATTCCCCACGCAGTGATCACTGCTGACAGAGATAGGAAGATCTCAAGTCACAGCAACTCCAAGGCAAATAAGAGGGAAAAAAACAACATACAGGAAGATTACCGCTACTCATTCAATTCCAGGTTACAGGAACAGTTTTGGAGCCTGGTGTTTCCTATCTGACTGAGCCCAGTGTTAACCAGTGGGATCCCAAATTCAGCAGCTATGGCTTATAAGCTTTTCTGTATGAGAGAGCTGGAGCAGGGCTGCCAGAAGAGGGAATTGCTGCAATAATAGATATGTTCTCTTCCATGGGAAGTCCACATCTCATTTTAAGAGGAGCCAGACATGCTGTCAAAGAGCCACTGACAGAAGACAACTCAGATACTTAAAGAAATAACTAAAACTTTAATTATTGCAGAATTATCAGCTTAACCCCTTATTCCTACAGTAAAAATGCCATTTACCAACACTTCCGGTGAGGCCACAAGCGAGTTTTGCTTTTCCAAAACCAAAGACAAAGGAAGGTTTAACCTCATGACTGCCCTAGAAGATGCCACAAGCTGAAAGGGGCATGAGGACATAAAGAAATCGGCAGGCTTTAGGGCTTAAGATCCAGAAACTGCCACAGTGAAGTCAAGGGAAGCAACAGGTTCCTGACCACAGCAAATTCTGTCTACAGCCGTAAGAGAGAGCACAGAATCCTACTAACATTTCTAGGTTCATACAGCAAAGCATTTCAGTCCACTAAAGGAGATCACACGAGGAAGCCAAGTGTTTCAACACGAAAACAAGTCCACACCTTGGTTTTCAAACTAGCTTTAGACTACAACAGTGACAAAAGAGAAACTTGACAGCAATTCACGTGTAGACTTTCTGGTGTGGTAATTTACGAGGAGGTTTTGCCTATTCATTGCTGTAAAGCAGTTTACTGTCCTGAAAGCATCAGAAGAGTGCCTGAAATAAGGCATCTATCAGCTGAAGTCAGAGTATTCTATTATAGAACACCTCAGAACGCCTTGCAATATGGGCCTTAATTTTGGGGCATTACACTATTTAATTTAAAACCAGAAAGTGGCAAAGACACCCAGTATGAAAGCAGTCTCACTCAAAAGAGAGCAAGGGAAGCACACCTCAGGAAGACAGCAGGTGCTTTATCACTTGTCAGTCAAAGACGATCATACCTGGACTGACTTACTAGCTCATTCCTCCCACCCTTCCACCATGATGGGACTGGCTAGTTTTAAAGTACTAGGAAATCAGGTTATTGTGACAATAAACGCAGACACCCACAGGACTGAGCTTCAGCACTTCAGTGACTCATACTTCTATTTTTGGTAGAAGCAACAAGGAAGAAGTGAGCTTTTCCTCTTACCCACTCTTCTCTGAGCAGCCACAAAACTACCTATGCTTTAAAAGGCCCTAGTAAAGTGTTAGCATGTTCCCTACAGTTCAAAAGTCATCATCCGCAACAGGAAGAGCTCCAGGAGCCTGCACATGAGACCCAAACATGGTTTGTTCCCGAAGTTCTTTGTTGTTACTCAGTTGGCTAGCCTGGCTAGGTAGGATGGGACCTGAATGCTGTCAGCTCACCAGTTCCCAAGATAAGTTCCTGAACTTTGGATGGGACCTTATCAAAAATAGTGTTTATTCCGCATTTACTGCTGCAGAATTTAAGGAAGCCTTTACAACAAAGAATAAGTTTTACATGATGAAACGATGCTCTAAAGGCATTTTGTAATAAGAGAGAAACTTCTCACACAGTTCTTATAACCCAGCCCCACCAAGGCTGCACATTCAGTGTTACCGCTTCCTCACAGACCCCTGCAGATCTGAAATGAAGCTCATGCTCACAAACCTCTTTTTCCATCTCTTTGCAAATGCAAGACGGAAACAAGTGTGGAGCTGCTGAAAACCTGACTTGTTTTCAAGTCAGCAGGAGAGCATGAAGAGAGCTACCAAGCAGCTCAGTCCATGAACACCTTAATACACCGCTGACAAAGCTTCTTCAGAGACATGAGACCAAATTCAACAGAATAATCCATTTCAACAGCACCAGCAACAGGTACATGAACCACAGCTGAAACAACAGCAGCTGCAAGACTGTCTTAGGCAAGAATACTACTTGTCAAGATAAAAGGATGCTACAAAATGACGACCGGGTAGCCCTTATTTCACAAAAATTACTCTTACTCATAAGACCGGTGCTATTTTTATATTGCAAAGCAAGACGTGGCCCATGCAATCCCTTTCTGGAACAGCTCTTCCACTTTCTAGCAAAGAAAAAGCAATAAATTGAGCATAAGGTGAAGCTTTTCAGTGGTTCATGCACCTGCGCTTGTCTGCCAGCGCAATCAGGAGCCTTAACTGTAATTTTTGGAATAAGAATGAGGCAAAGAAAAGGAAAGAAAACCAGGTTACACCACAATCTTGAACACAAAGTACTTCCACCGCGAAAGTGGCTTTTTGCGAGATACCTTTGCAGGATGCGTTTTCAAGTTTAAGTGCACTTAAAACCCTTTCAGGTCGGGGTTTAACGCTGACTTACACAACTCCCCAAGAAACGCTAGCCGGCTTTAAACAGTGCAGCTCGCAAGCCCCAAACCACCATGGACGCATTCACAGACACACGTTATCACACACCGTTCCTCCTCCCCTCCACACGCAGCTCCCTCCGAAGCGGCTGGGCGCACACACACCGGCACCAGCGAGCGGTGCAGCCGCCCCTCTGTGAACGCGGCCTTCCCGCTCCTTACGGCGGGGCAACACCTTCCGCAGCAGCAGCAGCGCCCAGCCCTCAGCACCTCAGCAGCCCGGGCAGCCCCGCCCGCCTTCCCGCACCGCGCCCCGGTTCCTCACCGCTGCCGGCAGCCCCGGCAGGCCCCGGCCCAGCGCCGCGCTCCCCTCACGGGCTCCGGGCGGTTTCCTCCGCCACCGTCCTGCGGCACAACCGCTGCACAGGGCCGGCCCCGGGAGCCCTCCGCACCGGGCGGGGCCCGCTCCCCTCACAGCGCCGCGCCGCGCCCCGCCACCCGCGCACGGCCCGGCCCAGCCCGGCCACCTCACCGTGGTCCTGGTTGAAGCCGGCGTAGAGCAGCCCATTGCCGTGCGGGTTGGCCGGGAGCAGGTTCATGGCTCCTGCCCGTTCGCGTCCGCCCGCCGCCCTTTAAACCATGGCGGCGCCCGCCCGCCTCAGCCCCGCCGCGGGAGCCCGCCGAGCCGAGCCGAGCCGAGCCGAGCCGAGCGGAACCGAAGCGGACAGGCCGGCGGCTGCTTCCGACCCCAGCAGGCAGCGCCGCCGAGCGCAGAGGACATCCACCGCCAGCGTGAGGAGCGCCGAGCGATCGAGCGGCGCCCCGCCCCGTCCCTGCGGCCGGGCGCGGAATGGCGGCGGGGGCGCCTGAGGCCCCCTCCGGTTGTGTGCGGAGCCGCGGAGCCCTGCTCCGTACCGGGAGCATCCCTCTCACCCCGCGGGCTTCTCAACCCAGGGCTGCAGCCTTGGAGCCGGGGTGGGGAGCCCAGGCTGGTACCACCGCACAGGACCCATGGGCTCCCTCCAGCTCTAGAGGGGCAGGTGGTAAGGAAGCTCTCCCATGAAGGGCACACCGGGTATGTCACCGGTAAAAACAAACAGAGCGAGAACATGCGAAAATAGGGGATGCTTTAACTTGGAAACGCAACTTGAGGGGAAGTCAGTAGTGAAGTTCCTTTAATCAAGATGATGGACCCAATGGCCTGTCGAGGTCCCTTCAAACTTAAGTTACCTCACGGCTTTGTGTGTGCTTGCCAGTGTGTGCCACTGATTCCATGTCCTAATATATATATAATATATAATTATGCATATTACATTGTATATATAATAGTTATATATGTAAAACATATATTTTTATATATAGAAATAAAATAATGACTCTGCATCACCAGCATTGAGGAGTGCTGCTCCAGCCTCTCCTTCTTACTCTGCCTTTATACTGGCTGGCAGAAGGAATAGAGAACCTGACCTTGAGAACACACACATCCGTATTAACATTCTCTCTCCCCAGGCATTCTTGCTGCATATCACATACAGAAAGGAAGGAAACCAATGACCCGGTGACTGAAGAGGCCAAGATCATAACGTGGAAGAAACCTGGCACAGCATAGCCACACGCACGGAGAGAGCTCTTCATCCTGCATGCAGCCCCTCGTCACACACAGATAACCAGCCTGCTCCCGCCGTTTGGAGGTCCTGATGCTGGTTTAACCTCTTGGAGCCGGAGGCTGGTACACACACGTTTCCTCGAGGTGTGGAGATGCAATCGCTGCGGTCTGACAGCTTCCCCCCGGGAGCTGCTGCGCTCCCCTGCAGCCCACTCGCCGCAGGCAGACCAGGAGGTGGAGCCTGCTGCTCGCCGAGAGAGCCCCGAGAGGCATTCCTCCACCGCGCTTTGCCGCTTAAGTCTTCAACTACGAGAAGCCTTGTTCCCCATTGCGCTTTTAAAGCGGTGATGCACGGACTGGTCCCGGTCCTGGCGTGATTGGCACATTAATGGCTTGAATTTTCCCTACTCGCCTACAGAGGCTGATCCGGAAGGAGTAATAGCTCCATGTATCGCACAGTAGTGAAGACACCCAGGGGAAACTGGGATGAAGCTACACCATCACCTCAAAAGCCTTGCTACTAAGGAGAACAAATCTCACAGTTCCTTCACAAGTGGAAGACTTAACAGAAATAGGGAAGAATAAGGTACGTTAACATTACTGAAGACAGATTTGTATGAAAAGCATTACATGAGGCTTTTAGGATGACTTCACAGTCCTGGGGTCTAGTTCAGGCATATTGTTCTTCAAATTCTTCTAAAGGAACATAAAGACACCCCCCCCCCCCCCCCCCCCAATTACAGACAGCATTATAGGATTTCTTTTCCAGAACCATTTATTTACTTTTTAAATATTATTCTTTCCTTATAAAGCAGCTCCTCAAGTCATGTTCCTTTTTACCACAGTCTTTGGCATTTTCCTCCTAGAACCTTCTTGGAGAGTGGTATAAAATGTAAATTTTAATTCTTTTTTTTTACAGAAAAATAAACCACAAATTAATTCCCCAAAATATTAAATAACATACCAAAAACTTTATCAAATCTATTACATACACTAATGGGACAAAACCTGGTCGTGTATGTGCATAATAATTATATGTACACTTTTACCTTAGTTAAGTTAGTGCTTCAAAGTTATCAAGGAAGCTATACAAAAAATCCAAATGCACCACTGCAGCACTACTGGAATTTGTCACACCATGTGAAGAACTGAACAATGTATGCAATACATTGCCTTTAAAAACCTCTGCCTAGGTATGCAGGTGACTCATCCTTACATTTCTGAACAGTTTGCAAAGACAGGGTTTTATACAATTACACAGTCACTTTCCAGATCTCATGGAATTAAGAACTGAATGATGATGATAATTATCCCCTCTACGAAAACGCATCTACTAGTAAAAACAATGGCATCATGCACATCAGAAACTCAAAACGCAGTATGAAAATCCAACAGCAAAATGTCACATCCTTTCAGGTGCACTGAACATGTCACTTATTCCAAAGCAGCATTACTGCAGTGAGCAAGCTCTAAAATAAGACTTATTCTTCTCATTTTTTTGTCTATGTAGTGAGATACGTACATAGAATGTGCTCAGCCATTAAGCAAGGAGTCTTTGTGTCTTGTGTTCAATGCTTCACACAAGGAGACTCCATCCAGGTTCCCTTTTTCCACAGGGAGATTAAGAGATTTTACAGCTGTTCCTTGTACAGTTTTTTGGTGGGCTCTGTGGTGGACGGATGATTTTGGCTTTCTTTAAGCTGTTCCTCTTATTGATGTTGCTGGATGTGAGGGAGTATGAGCGTCCATGCATCATCCTGGCATTAAGGCCATTTGCCATGGAGAAAGATTTGAGATGGCTTCTTAAGGCAACAGGGAGAGGGAGCTTGTCAACAAGATGCACAGGGGTACAGGAAACTACGGCACGGCAACAAAGGTCTTGCAGGCTCAGTACTTTAAAACAGACACAAAACTTGCATTGTAATAGCATGCTTTTGTCAGCCATGAGGCAGTAGCACACCCAGCACTCTGCATGCACTCTGTACTTCCAGGATGAATTCTCATCTCTCCTCCCACACCCTTTCCCACATATACATTATCCCAAATACCTCCTGCTTCAGTTTCCTACTTATGTCTTAATACCAAGCTGACTGAACATGTCAGTTCTAGGAACAATACGTTATTCCCTACAAAGGCAGAACAGGTTGTGCCTGCAGATATGTATTTTCTGTTTAGTACAGGATTCCCAATTCTTCTTTCATGTTTCTGCATCTGGGTTAAAGTTTCTGAAAATGCTTTCATATTAGTGCACCATAAACCTTAGCTTGGACTAAATGTATACATCTTCAGTGTACGTGGCTTACCCTTGTTTGGCCTCCAGAGCCTGTCCATTCCATGTCTCATCAACACTGTTCTTGCTAGCTCAGTAAAGGACTCTGTAATATTGAAATTACAAAGTGGACTGACTTCAAAAAAAGTCATGCCCAGCCTCTCAGCATAGGCCTGTGCTTGTTCAGTGGACACCTGGCGCTTGAAGGCTAAGTGAAGGCGATTTCCAACCAGGATTTTTGGTACACCAGGAGCATGCTGAGCAAAGAGAAGAAAGAAAAAATTAACAGTTTGGCTTCCAGTTCCACCTTCAATTAAAACAAGCAAACGCTTTGTCAAGACTAAATACTAAGGTCTAGTCTAAGACCTAAAGAACTGGTCTTAGATCTCTAGAGGTCCTTTCCAGCTTATTCTATGATTCTCTTATCTAAAAACATCCCTTCCTTGGAGAAGACAGGCTGGCACAGATGATGTGGCAAATCTATAGCAAGAGTGGGACTACAATATGAATTCTTTGCCCTCCATATGCTTCCCATCAACACCTTTAAAGAAATCAGACAGTCTAGCTGTTATGTTTCCAACTTTTTAGAATTATAAACATAGAATTGTAAACTTGGCATCTTGGATAGCTCTATAGTAAGCACTGCCTGCAAATGCCAGTAAAAACAGTAGAAAATATCATAAGCAGTTTTAGTCATCTGTACCTTACCTCATCTATTTCTTTTATCCATCGATCGATTCCACCAAATGACCAACGATTTGTAATATCATACACTAGTATAACTCCCTGTATTAAAAAGAATGAGTTAAAACTGTCAGTTTAACAGAGGCACAACACAGATAAACACATATCTGTAAATTCTTCTGTGCTGAAATAATCTTGTAAGAGGCTGCTGAGCTTTTCAGTGGAGCAGAACCTCAGCATCCTGTGAAACCGAGCCCCCTCTCTGTGTAGATTACACATCAGCCAAGGGGCAGAAACCCTGACTTAGCTGTAGGGTCTAATGTAATGGTAAGCATTTGTTTTTATAGTGGATAAGTTTGGTGGATCACACACACATCACAAGTCATAGCAGAAATGTACTTTTGGTCACATTCAGAAACTTGAAGATTCAATGCTCCGTGCAATTCTGGAACATAAGATGCAACTCAGCAGAACCAGTACGTGTCATGAACTACTGCAATACTTTAAACTCTGATGCTGTGGGCACTTTTGGTGTGTCTGTCCTTTTTTCTTCTTTTTTTTTTTTTTTTAAGTAATTTCCTTACAAATCATTACATTTCATTATATTTTAGACTATGTTTGTCTTTTTCACATTACTCTTGCCAGTCTTACAGTATGTTTCTCTTACTTGGCACCCAGTTTTAAACAGTAGTGTTAGCACAGCTTTCACATGATCCAAGTACAATACGTGCTTAAGTTATTGAGGTAACCAACAAGAAGGCATAAGAATGTGTACTACTGTATTTTAGTGATTCAACTTCAATCTCATGTATTTCCCCTCCCCAAACTAAAGTTTCATGCCTTATTATTCCCCATGTTCCATGTTATCTTCAGAGCATTACTGCACCTGCATGCAATCTGCAGCTGAGTTACAGCAGCCATCAGGATGGTTCTCCAGCTCTTTCACTCGCCCAACAACCATTACTCAGCACTGAGAAAGGTGTGTTTTGCTTACCTGAGCACCTCGTGAGTAAGACCGAAATATGGTGCAGAATCTCCCTTGCCCTGATGTATCCCTAAATAAAATAGATTAGATATATTTTTAAAAGAAGAGGTGGCCTCCTGTGTTAAGAGTGAGCTACAGTAACTCATCCGTACCAGTCACTATCAGCTCTTCTTCCATGAGTCAGCAGCAGCAGTCACTCATGCACAAAGAGCTCCTCTCCCTCGCAGCAGTTTTTCCCCACTGGCATTCTGCCCTTTCCTCTACATTTCCCAGATTTCCCAACATAAGAGGACAAGAACTTCAAACTTTACTCTTGTGATTGCCCTTGGAACACAAAGGCTGTTGCACTAGTGTTCATGTGCCACTACACTTTGCGTTTAGTTCGGCTAGATGAGAGATTCGGTTTTCACAGCAAAGTGGGAGGAAACAATACTTATCACCAAGGAAACTAATGGAAAACCCAGTAAATTCTTGGTTACAGCAGCTATTGTTCATCACGAATCTAGTATGATGAAGGTATCCCTATAGAGTCATAGACAGCACAGGGTTTTAAAAAAGCATGCACACACACACACACAAAATAATCTCTGTATAAAGGGTTTGGAAGCAAAGTCAAGTTTATAGTGAAGAACATGGTAAGAAGCAAAATTCCATAGACTTTTTGCGATAGATTACAGATCTTCAAATGCAGGGCCCATATTTCTGTATATGGTGAACAGCAGAAACATTTGCAATCTGTTATTTTAAGAAGCTCAAAGAACATCCCTGCCCTTCAAAAAAAGAATAAAACCATCTCCTTCCTGGCTGCTTCTCAGCAAAAAGTACCACACAAAGCTTATCTAAGCTATATAAAGTGGAAGACAGAAGAAGGAAATAAAGTAGGTGAACAAAATATCAAGTAATGGAGATAGCATATGGCAAAGCATTATTATCCATTATTGCATTTAACACTTGAAACATTACTTTGAAAATCATAAAGGCAGAAGCAACCAATGAAAAATAAATTTACAATAGCTTAGTTTTGACACACAGGTGTTTAACTGCAATAACTAAAACCAAAGATAAACACCAGAACTAAATTCAAGATAGAAATGGCCCGGGATTATATCTTTCTAGGAGGAGAAAGATATAGTCATCATAATTCATTTTCACCTCCAATTCTCTATCTGAACACTGCTTGTTCCTAGAACCTGTCTCTCTGATTTATCTAGATTATGGTTCCTCAAAAATCACACTCCATCTCCTTCTCCCTCTGTTATGCCATGAATTTAAGGAAAGAGGAAAACGATGTCTATTTAAGAGGCAGCAACGCTGCTGCATACTTCAAGTTGTATCACTTCCTGTTTTTTGCTGAATCAGAAGATGCCATCTTCAAATGACCTGATGCAAAAGCACCCTGCCACACCAAACATTTGACCCTACAGGAAAGACATGTGCTGTAAAAGAATATTATTCATCATCAACATATTTTGTGAGGATTCAATCGCATCAGACTGCATATCAATTCCACTATGAGCAATAATGCTGCTTTTTATTGATACTGAATGTATTTTATGGTTATTTAGTTGACTGTTACTACTAATAGCCTGAGCAAAGGGATGCTGCTGCACAACACTGTGTGCTGAGGTACTGTCATGGTTCTTATTACCAGAGTATGGAGGTCAAGACAAAGTGTGACTTACTCAAAGGGCTACCTGCCTGGCTTATTCTTCCATGGTTGACTTATTTCTGAAGCATAAAGGAGAACTCCTGCTTGAAGAGTTGCATTGTGGTGTCTTTGGACTATAAATGCTGAGGGAAGGTAGAGCACACACTTACCAGAGCTGCAGCTTGATTCGTCGGCCATCTAGAAGTATCATTGTAGTCTTATAATCTATACCTGTGGGGAAAGACAGTCATGCAAATCTCAGGGCAGCTTGTAGGTGTACAGTATACACACAGTTACAGATTTCAAAGCAGCTGACCTTAAACAAAAGGGATTTGTCATTAGTACCCTGCAAAGTGCATATGGATAAGAACAATTTGTAAGGTTACAAAGACCTTTCATATTACTTAGGCTTGGTCCATTCAGAGCAGATGTCTCAGGCTCCCTAAGGTTGATTAAATGGTCTGTTTTATTCATTACCATGACAATACAGATGCTTAAAGAGTTTTCCTTCTTCAACAAAAGAAGGCAGAAGTAGGATTTTTTGCCTTTTCTCTCATACATCACAGACTAAATGCTGTTCTCTTCCTCTGTTCCCTAGCTTTACTGCCTCTATTATTTCTTCCTTCCTTATCATCTCTGACTCATAGACAGCTCTCGTATCAGATACACGTCCCCCTCTTATATAAAGCAGCAGATGGTGCAAGAATTGGCTGATCTTTTGTCTTCCAGCCTCTTCCAACTGATAACAGCCTTCTCTCCCCAGACCACTTACACAGTCAGCGTCCACCAGAATGCAGGCAGGTCCCATTCATTCCTTCCCATAACATGGCCAGGCCTTGTGACTGAGTTACAATATCTGCTTTACATGAGCTGAAGAAGCACTGCAGTGTTTAAGGGAAGTATGTGTTGTAGGTATACTTAGACATGTATACACATGCACACATGTAACTTAGCTCACATCTTTATTGCACCTTTTGTAGTTTTTGCAAACAACCTTCCATGCTACCTAATATAATTTCTACTGCTAAGCTGACCTGCCCCAGGGAGTAACTCAACTGTGTAATAGTAAGATCCAGTCTAGCATTAGCGTTTTCTTGGTCAGAAAGGGTGGGTTAGTTTCAATTAGGTTTGGTAAAACCCAAAACCGGAGGCAGTTGTGTAGCTGCAGCTGACCCCTGGAAATGCCCACCACGATGTTAGGGTCATTGGCTTACGGCCGCTGTGCTTCAGTTCTGCACCCACAAATTGTATAATTATAAACATTAAAAGAAAGAAAGGCTTTTCTTTTGTTCACTGTTATTTTAAAGTGCGCATTCAGCAGTCACACCGCGCAGCCAAGCAACAGTTTCACTGGTAAATGTGTTTTTCTCATGTTTTCTTTGCTGTGTCATAGTCAGCTTCTTGAACTGAGCATTTAGTCACAGAGTCCTCCAGTAAAGTGTAAAAAGCATGGAAACTACCTCTGAAAAACGTTCTGAAATGTAATGAGTATTGTACCTTGAAAGACAGAGACATGCTCTATTTTCTGAGCATAAGCAAAACAAGGGAGTAAGAAAACCACACTGACATGGAAAACCAAGTGCATGCAGAAGCGGGCCCTAACTGCTACTGCAGATTTCAGCACAGCTTTACCAGAGAAACAGGGATGACAGTGCTGATGATGCTCCTGTGTCAGGCTCTTATTGTGGAAAGACACACAGACAATACCCCTACCCCAGTGCATTACCACCAGTTTTGGAAGACTTATTTTAGTTTATCATCCAGAGTGTTCCAGTTCTCCATCAGTCTTAGGAAATACTCAAATCTACAAACCACAAATTACAGTAAGTATTAATAACAATTAAAAAACCCCAAACAAACACACAACACAGCCACCCAAACCTATAGACAAAGTCCTGGGACACTGAGCAGATGATACTGAAACTGGTTTTGTGCTGAAAGAACAAGTTGCATCATTTCAGAAATTCCTGGAAACGTAAAACATGCAGAACAAACCCTGCCTAACATCACATAACTCATTCCCGCATCCTGTGCTACCACTGCTATTTCCCATAGGGTGAAATACCTCCACTAGCTTATCTGGAGTTCATGAAGAGGCACAGACCATGTTTAGCAAACACTGACACATCCCACACAGCAAATGGACATCCATCATCCTGTTAAAAGACATACCAAGCATAGAAAATTAGCATTGCATAGCTAGAGGATACACAGCTGAATAAACCTGCTACTGTGCTTTGCACCACAGACCATAAACTACTACAAATTTAGCTACACACATAATGCAAAATACTACTTTTACATGACATGCACAAGATAAATCTGACAAATACACTACTACCAGCTGCTGTTTATGAAAGCATCTTATGGGTTTCTCAAAAGAATTTTGAAGAGATGGATTCAGAAACTTCCTTATTCTTCAGCTGCCATGCAGAGAGAAGCAGTTGATAAGATAACCTGAACACCTCTGCAATTAGCATTTGCTATGATTAAGAATCAAAACAAAAAGCCTTTTGCCATGACTCATCAGGAACAGCATGAAACCGTAACAATGAGACCAACAGATGTGAATTGTGCTGTTGTAGAAATCAAATGTCCTTCCAGAACATTATTCACTCATTTAGTAAGACAGAATAGCTTTGTTTGGATACACAACTAAAATGTATCCCTATACAAGAAAGAGAAGAAAAAGGCTGCTAAATACATAAAAATTCAATTTAGAAGTAAACCAGAAAAACCTCCCAGTGTTTAATGCTTTCACATGGATGCTTTTAAGTAACAATCATTTACCGAAAGCCACAAATTGAAATGAAAGCACCTGGAACAAGTCACTATCCTTGCTGAAGGGTTCGGATTGCTTGAATCAAACTGGTTTGTAATAGATTTTGTCCTTCTCAAACACAAAAGTAACAGGTAGAAAACAGAGAGAAATATTATTGAACCCAGGAATGTAGCAAGATTCCCAAAAAAGCATTCAGCTGTTTGGTAACAACTGCAGTAAGCAGGAGGCCATCCTCTCTGCATCGATGCTGTGCAGCCACTACCACACTATTATCCCTTATGCCTCACTGACCATGCTGCAGCCATGTAACACTGGTCATTTTAAGGCTTCCTATGAATTTCTGTTTCTCTTACAGTAGTGTATTGAAGTTTCTGGGTTTTCTGATGGGTCTCTCTAGGGCAGAATCCTTCAGTCATTTAAGTCGCTCGTTTTGTGTTCCACCAAAGGCAACATTATTTACACCAAAAATCTTTTCTCTTCAGTTTAATAATTGAGATTCAATGATCTACAGTGCAACTAACAGGCATTTAGGTTTGCAGCAGTGAAAACACTCTGACTCACTTAAACCAAATCTGAAGCACTGGACTGAAGACCAAACACCAGTCATAACTTGGTAATACGACAGCGAATAAAATCCTCATATTTTTTTTCTCAGGAATTGGATGCTAGCCCAATATTTTAATGATCTGGAGGTTGTTCTGCATTTGTTTTGGGTGTGTATTTCAACTTCAATACGTTAGAGCAGAGGGGAGAAGGAAAAACAGGGGGAAAATAACCAAGAATGGTAAAACTAGATTCTTCGGTGCTGTGCTTTACCAACTCGGCACTGAAAGATTTTATTCAGTAGCACATTTGTCTTAGAAATGCTCCAAACCCCAACCCTTTTTAGACCTGAGAAAGTGCAGAATACACGACTTCATTTTTGAACCTAGGGTACTTATTTTAGCTCATAAATACCACAAGAACTGGTTTCATTGATTTTACTTATTCTCCTTGATGTGTTCTTTCTTTACATTTTGAGGCATGTTGCTCCTTGTAGGTAATTCATGCTAGATTAGCAGCTTTCAGATTTAATTAAACCAGAATCTAACTACTTCAAAATAAACACTACTAATAATAGTACATTCCAGCTCCCTACCTCCATAGCCTGACTGCTTTCCAGACATTTCAAGGCTAAAGCCTTCTCCAGCAGTCATTCACTCCACCAATTTGCCCATATTAAAAATTCAGTAATACTTTTCTATGCCAATAACTAAGTGTCTAAAAATAAATATATAAATATATATTCAGTCGGATTCTGGGCCTGTGTTCAACAAAGTCCACCAAAACCATCCTTCAGGTTCAAAGGCTGTTGACTACACCTGGAAAAAGCAGTTTTCAGTTTCAGAGAGTGCTTAAAACCATTTTCTTGTGTGCATGATGAGAACTCAATGGTCGCACCACTTCCCACTTTAGGCTTTTTCAGCTATCTAGCTTTTCATATAGACATTAAAATCAGGGTTTAGAACTGTTTGCAAATGTTTCCAGAATATTTGACAAGTGCCACGACTTCCAGCTCCATTCATTTATTGTTCACAGCGAAGGCATGCTTTTGATTCAAAATCCAACTAAACTTCAAAAACTAAGCCCTGTGTTTTCAACATCATGCTGTGAAGATACAACCTCTTGGCAATAAAACTGGACTATACCTTTTGATGCATAACCTGACCTTCATGCTTATATGACAGTCATATTTGCCTTCTGGTTGCTGTTTCAGAATAATCATCATTTTCCAAATTGCAGTCTTTTCCATCACACTCAATTACTGCAATAAAAGCCATCTGTTTCTAAAGCACTATTCAGATTGAAATAGATACTAAAATTTTAGATCTAGGCTGTATTCTTCACCTCATTAATCAAGCCATAAACCACAATTACAAAGTCTCACAGATAATTCACTTAGTTGAATGCTGTGACAATTTTCCTGCTTTAAGCTATTTGTATCAGAAAGTCCAGCTTTATAGGAAGCTTTGGTTCTGGTCACAGACACATGCCAGTATCACAGTCTATCCTTCAGTACAGCTGTTTTCCTTTAAATGGTCAAAGAAATTAAGTTTACAAGAAATCCATCCTTAAAAAAAACCCAGAAGTGCTCTTTAACAATTACACAGAAGCTTTTCATAGGTACAAAATATAGGGCACCCAGTTAAAACCTGAAGGTCTTGGAGCACTTCTGGTTGGCTCTAGTCCAGCCGGTTGTTCTTTGAACCAAAGCAACTGGTATGGGATTAAGAAGTTTGACACAACCTTATGGCATACCTCTAACACCAATCTAAAACCAAGATTTAACAACTGAAACTCCAAATGTATAAGTCCGTTCCCCCCCCCCCCCCCCCCCCCAATTTAATTAGTCAGGCTGCTAATTTACAGAACAGTAATTGAATAACTTCCTGTTTGTACTCTTACTATG